AGCTTAAAGAACTTCCTTCCGATTAATTAACAAAATCTATTTTGGCCCATTATGTGCCTCCTAATAAGTGTATAAAAATTTTCTTTGGTACAGATAAGGCGTTACTTTTATAAGTGTAAAACAATCGGACACCTGGTTAATTAAACTAGGAAAGGAAATAGATTTATTTATTTACGACACACCTCCTGGAAAATCACTAAGAGTTCTTATAATAAAAGTAATAATGAAAGAAATACATCATAACTTTTATGTCTTATGTCAAGAGTTCCAATTGCATTATATGTAATGGAAATCACCCCCTTTGTATATGTTCTACCTACAAGATTTCCCAGATATAGAAAATACAATTTGTAAAAGATAATGAATTATGTTTCAATTGTCTTGATAAGCGTTAAGTGATTTCTTGCATGTCAAAACGTTCCTAGTTCAAAAATATGATAAAGGCCATCGTATTTCAATCGAGAACATGCTTTTTCGGCGCAATCAAAAATAAGAGAGAATATTATGAATTCAGAATCGAATAATAAACAAATTGAAAGAGGAAGTCTTTCTTTCTCCCTGCTTGCTTTTGAACTCGCACCTGCCAGCGAAATACAGGCGCCAATATCTTTCCCGCCACAAGTAGTTATGTCTGGAATAAATACAAAACAGTTCTTTTGTATACAGCAATTTGTTATTTATGTGATTTCTGGAAATGAGAGGGAAGTTCCTGTAGACTGGGGGTCTTATGTCTAATTTCATAAGTAAAGAATGTGCAGATCGACTGCAATTGAGAAAGAATAAAACACAGTTGAGTCTGGAATAATAATTTAGCCGACTATATATATTATATTCTAAATGTTTAAATGACATAAAATGAAAACTTTTTTGTATCTAGATCCTACTTACCCTACAATAGTTCATTAATCAAATGTTTAATTTCGGAGGGGGTTTTGTCCCCCTAAACCCTACCCAAAACTATGTCACTGGTGACAGTCGAAAAGAAAAATGAAAGCTTAGTAATTCGTCTGTATTTAAAAATTAATATACCGAATTTAATTGCAAGATATTTTTCAGAGTTTGAAAGATTTGTGAGACTTGGGTACAAAATTTTAAGAATTTTCAACTTTTTGCAATGAAACAAATTTTTTATTAGCAGTTTAGATAATATTTCATTTTATATTGGTACACAAATGGTAATTAAAAAGACTCTAGCAAGTTAAATCGTACTTAACCACTTCCTTCCTAGTTCTTGGGAACATAATTCTTCAACATTCCATTTTGTTCGGATCTTAACTTTTTTAGTTATTACTTTATTTATAAAAGTTTGCTAATATATACTTATAAAAAAAATATTTAGATATTGGTGAAAGGCAGAAGCTTAACGTGTTTTTAACAAGGTACTCACTCAATTTTAGAAGAAAAAAAAATTCCCCGACTTTCCCACGTAAATTTCAATTAAAATAGAGATCATATTTTATCTATATCACGCACTTTTTCATCAGAAAACTTTGATTCTTTTATTTGTAACGCCAAATATCAGATTTTCTGTGTAAAAATATATCATTAAATGAGTATGGGACCAATTCAGTTCGACTAAAATGCGAAATTTTTACAACAAATAATTGTAATAAATGTTAGAATTGTTTAACTCTAATCTAAATAACTGATTACTGTTGCTGACAGTTTTTAGACTGGTTGTTTTCCGGGTATAATATAGGAATTTGAGGGGTTTTTTTTAAAAAAAAAAAAATAGCAACTTTCCTCGACTGTTCTCTGATTTTTGGAGTTAAAATTAAACTCCCTGACCCGTGGGAAACCTGTTTTAATAGTTCATTTGTTTAATTTTTATTTACAAACGAAGTTTCATTGTAATTAAAATAACATAATTGAAACATCTTTAGAAATTTTTAACTTGCTTTTGTATAATATTATATGCATGTGTAACATAACTCTAAAAATCACATTAAGTCATAAATGATAATTATTAAAAATATATAACTTTCATGTCAGGCTCGTTTCTTGCATTAACTCTTTGCGGTCATAACCTATCAACACTCAGAAGCAAAGATGCCAACATGCTCCACTTAGTGAACATGATTAACAGTTGTGATGCCCACCACTACATTCAAATATGAAAATTTTCCATGTTCGAAATATATTGTGGTGCGCCTTCTACAGCATTGGCGAAAGGAAACAAAATTATGCTTGTCATAGTTTTTAATACTTGACCACTTTATAATATTTCTTACAGAAAGTGGAGCGATCAGCATCCCTACAAAAACATTTGGTGCCTGACAGCTGCAAATGGTTAAGACTTTTAACAAAAGATGTGAGAATGCATTAGTGAATAAAACAATTAAATTGCAGATATTTTATTGTATATGTTTTATTATATTTATATATGTTCACTCTAGATTGCATTGCCAAATATATATATCCTCCTAGCCCCCTCCCCCAATTTATATTCCAATTTTTTTGGAATTTTGTCTACCTCCTCATATATCTGGGGAGAGCCCTATTTATAGTGTTAGAAATCCAAATATGTAGGTAGGTAATTTATTTACGTCACACTAGAGCTGCACAATGGGCTATTGGCGATGGTCTGGGAAATATCCCGGAGGATGATCCAAAGACATGCCATCATAATTTTGATCCTCTGCAGAGGGGATGGCTCCCCTCCTATGGTGACCTGCGCATGAAGGTGAGCAATTTACAGTTATGGAACAATTACAGAAGAGTTTAATGAGGACCGATACCGTGCACCCTCAGTCTCTATGCAGGCTGATCAAAGTGGTACCCACCTGCTTACTGATCGCAGCCAGTGATGTTTGACTACTGGGAAAATCGAAATATGTAAAAAAAGTTGCATGTTATTTCGGAGAAAGTACATTTTTGTGTCCGGTTTTAGTTAGCACTAATTAATTAGGATACTTGAAGTTACTCTCCAGAAATATTAAGATTGACACTTAGAACGTGAAATATCTAATTATTATAACAGAAGTTATTTAGGACATCTTTTTTTTGTGTACAGTACTTATTTGATTTCAGGTTGAAATATAAAGGAGTTTCTTACAAACATCTTTCAACTCCTTTGTTTTCAGCTGTGGTGTTGCAGGGTCGCCACTCAAATTTGGAAAAAAGAAATTCCCTGTACATATTATACACAAAATATATTAAGAGGAAAAACACAATCACTGTTGTATGAGCTGTATTGGGCTAACTATCATCATAGTTGGCCAGACAGCCAATGCCTTCCTCTGAAGATTTCTCCATGACGACTTCCGATTTATCTTTGACCACCAATTTTTTTCATTAATTGCTAGAAAATCAGACTCCACTGAATCAGCCCATCTCAACCGCGGCCTTCCCCGCTTTCTTTTCCACTGGGTCTAAAAAGCAGTATCTTTTTTATTGTGTTGTCGTCACTCATTCGAATCACGTGGGCGATTAAATTCATTCTATTTATTTTTATGTATTTAATAATATCGGGTTGCTTTTATAAATCTTGTACAGTTCAAAGTTAAATCTCCTTCTCCAGTTATTGTTTTCATTTACACCACCAAGTATACTCCGCAAAATCTTTCTTTCAAATATTGCGATACACTAACTAACTATANCAATGCCTTCCTCTGAAGATTTCTCCATGACGACTTCCGATTTATCTTTGACCACCAATTTTTTTCATTAATTGCTAGAAAATCAGACTCCACTGAATCAGCCCATCTCAACCGCGGCCTTCCCCGCTTTCTTTTCCACTGGGTCTAAAAAGCAGTATCTTTTTTATTGTGTTGTCGTCACTCATTCGAATCACGTGGGCGATTAAATTCATTCTATTTATTTTTATGTATTTAATAATATCGGGTTGTTTTTATAAATCTTGTACTGTTCAAAGTTAAATCTCCTTCTCCAGTTATTGTTTTCATTTACACCACCAAGTATATCCCGCAAAATCTTTCTTTCAAATATTGCGATACACTAACTAACTATATTATAGTTATAATTGCTGAAAAAACTTAAGAGAAAAATCGTAAATTAAAAAATTGTTCTAGTAAATAAAATAGTTTAATATAGCTGAAATATCATCCTTATATATCCCATAGATTGTGCTTTGAGTGGTTGCCATTATTTAAAAGACAAAAATAAGAAACAAAATTCCCTGTATTTTCCCAGTTTCTAAAGAAAAATTCAAAATTCCTTGTTATTTGAGGTGATTTTTAGATTTACTAGCAACATTTTTTTGGGGTTTTGATACATTATCACGTAAGTAAAAAATATGTATATAAATCCTAATCTAAAGATTTTTTAATCATTATTTATAATTACTTATACTAAAAACACTCAACATACTGGAGTACTGGCAATAGCACCATATGTTGAGGAATAAGAGATGTATTTTTGTTATCAGTGGATATTTTATTGCCAAATTTTCCTTCAACAAATATACGGATAAACAGGAGATAGTCTTGAAATATTTTTTTTTTAATTAAATAACGGCAGGCACTTGAACTCTCGTTCTTCACCTCGGAAGATGCCGGAAGTGTTGCTCATTTAGCGTTACCCAGTGGGCACCTGTGAACCTAAGTCACGGAGGCGAGCAACATTACCCACGCCGCACTGCCACAAACCCGTTCATAGGGCGGGCCACATTCACACATCACACACAACAGAGGACAACACAGAGAGAAACATCCATGCCCAGAGCGGGATTCGAACCCGCAGCCATTGGCTTCGCAGTCAGGCACTCTAACCGCTCGGCCACCTGGCCGGCTAGTCTTGAAATATGGGAGTCTTTGTAAAAAAACAGGAGACTTGGCAGGTATGCCTGTGTTTTCCAGGTTTTCCCTATGGGGTGGCAACCCTGTATTGGTTTTGTTGGTATCTTTAAGATTCTAACTCACGATCTGTCTATAAATAAGAATATTTCAGGTGAGCGGAATTTGAATCGACCAGTCATCGCTGAGCCACTACAGACTCCACACCAACTGCCCACCACAATGAGCAAATATAAGATAAGACACTCCAGAATGTAGAATTTTATTTTCAATATAAAAAAATAAAATATTTATATTATATTTACTTTACAACCACAACAATTCAATTCAAGTATCACTTTAAATTAAAACATTTGCTACCTTTTTAAAACAAATTTAGAATGAGCATGAAAATAATATCATACATTTCTACACATAATATGGCGCTGAACATAAACTGAATGAACATTCTTAAAAATACAACAGATAGACCTTGCATACTGAAAAAAAAATAACGAAAAAAAAATATATTGCTATTTTTTTTCCTTACACTCCGATAGTGTAAACATTGAGTAAAAAGGCAAAATATGATCTTTAAATAAAACTCTTTTTACCCTAGGGTAGGTGCACGACTGTAATAATTAAATTTACATTTAACATATACAGTCGAATAAATGTTTCATGCATAAATTAAAGAATGCATTCAATGTTAAGGATGATTATCATGAAGGAAAAAAAAAACTTTCCACCTTGTGTTAAATAGGATTTGATAATTCATTAAAAAAACACAACATTCATAATTCAAAACATCATATTTTTTCATATACAAAAACAGAAGAAAACTATCTTTTCTTGCAGCATAACAATAAATAACAGTTATTCAAATAATAAATAATAATACTGGCTAAAAAAAACCAATGGGGTGGGCGGAACTGTAAAAAAATAATTAAATGAAAGACAGTGGCATTTCAAATAAAAAATAAGTCTTCAGGAACATAGCAAACAATTTTGAGGTTTTTAAAAAGGACATAAAAAGTTATGCTGGCATAGAAAAGTTGGCAGCAATTCTATTTTTCCTACTCCCCTGCGTCGGAGTGCTCTTAGAACTTCTGATATCTCCTGAACATCTGAACAAATCTGTTCTTTGAAGATTTCCAGACTTGAGGTTCAATTGATGCAGATTTAACATGGATGATGTTTCATTTGAGCACGAGGGAGATCGCTTGATGATCAAATGACTCTCTTCAGATGAATCATTTGAGTCTGAAAAAAATACAGTTGATTACTTGATGATTGATTTAACATTGGCTTTAAAAAAAAAGGAAGTTAGTACAGGGTATTTGAAACATTTTAGATTTTCAAATACATGACTCATTCCAAGAACTTTCCATGACTTAACGAAATAACTATTTTCTCCCGACAAAAACCCAACAATAAATTTAAAAAAAGCATTATAATAACATTAATAGAAATGATAGGTATAACCAAAAATGTTATACTCTGCATCATCATATTTAAGATTTTAAATTTAAAAAACAGAGTAAAGAAAGAGTTGAAGCTAGAGAAAAAAAACAAAAGCAAATAATTTTTGTTCCTTTTTTCTGCAAAATTATATTCTTAAGATACTTTTGTTTGTTGGAAAGGAAAGAAATACTCCTGATTTTTCTGTTCTCATTTTGGAATAAGAAAAATTCCCCAATGACTGGCTTGCTTCAGATAAAATTTTAAATTGATAAAATAAAAAAATTTCGAAATCACAGAAGTTTAAAAGATAATTTGCTCTAGAAATTATCAAAAATGTCAAGTTTTCTGCCAAATAAGCGTCATTTGCAGCAAAGGTGCATAGATTGCTTGGAGAAGCATATGGTGAGGACGCTTTAAATGAAAGAAGTTGTCAAGAGTCGTTTCAGAAGTTTAAAAATTGTGAGTTTGACGTGGAAAACAAAGAACACAGAGGAAGGCTGAAATTGCACTAAGACAAGGACTGGGAAGAAAATTCGTCTCAAACGCAAAAACTTGCTCTTACATAACAAGTGACTTAGCAAGCAATTTCACATCGTTTAAAATCGTTGGGAAAGATCCAAAAACAAGGAAGTTGTGTGCCATAAGAACTGAAGACAAGAGAAATTGAACATTGATTTTGCTATATGGAAACACTTCAATGGGAAGTCCTACCTCAACCGCCGTATTCACCAGACCATAGATTATAATCTATTTCTGTCGATGGCACATTGTCTGTCTGAGCAGAAATTTACATCATTTGAAGAAACCAAGGAATAGCTCTATTCGTGGTTATTCTCAAAAGACGAAGAGCTCTTCCGACGTGGTATCTGAATGCTCCCAGAAAGATGTGAAAAATTAGTGTTTAGTAATGGAGAATGCTTTGAATAAAAAATAATGTACCGTTTTTTCGCAATAAACTGCCAATTTTTGATAAAAAATGGCAGTAAACTTACTTGTACTCCCAATATATATGTATATATAATAAAAAGAAAAAATTCTCACCTTCCACAAATTGAGTTCCAAAATGTGTTGAATTTTCACCTTTGATAAGCTCTGTTTCCTGGGAAGATGCTAAAAAATCTGGCAAAGGATGACTCAAGATACCTGAAAATTAAATAAAATGTTTTCATTTTAGACATTCAATAGACTTTTTTCACATGAAGAAATGTATAAAAACTTTCAAGGAATAACAGTTAGAGAGCATCTTTAAACCTAATAATGAGCTAGCAACAGAAAATACTAAAATAATTTAACTTGTATAGATATATATTAGTTTTTTTAAATTTAAAGATGGAAGGTGCTAAGTTCAGGGTATCTATTAAATTTTAGATTTTCAAATTCACGACTCATTCCAAGATTTTTTCATGACTTAACGAAGTTACTATTTTCTCCGACAAAAACACAACAATGAATTTAAAAAAGCATTATAATAACATTAATAGAAATGATAGGTATAACCAAAACTGTTATACTCTGCATCTTCATATTTATAGATTTAAAAAACAGAAACAGACTAAAGAAAGAGTTGAAGCAATAAAATAGCTGGAAAAAAAATACAAAAGCAAATGATTTCCCCCCCCCCATTTTTTCTGCAGAATTATATTCTAAAGATACTTTTCTTGTTCATCGAAAAGGAAAGAAATACTCCTGATTTATACAAAAGCAAATGATTTTTTTTTCAAATTTTTTTTGCAGAATTATATTATAAAGATACTTTCCTTGTTTATCGAAAAGGAAAGAAATACTCCTGATTTTTCTGTTCTCATTTTGAAATTTAAAAAAAAATCGCCAATGACTGGCTTGCTTCAGCTAAAATTTTAAATTGATAAAAAAAAAATAAAATAATAATACTAATTCTGAATCACAGAAGTTAAAAAGATAATTCGCTCTAGAAAGGATATTTTTCCTTTCATTTTTTGAAAGAACACCATAATTTTTAAAGAACACTATAAAAACATTTTATATTTAAATAAAATATGACTGTGTGGAGATTTTGTTACAAGTTCAGATATTCAGAACACCGTGAAATGTGGGTGTAAATTCCATTTTAAAAATTAGATTTTTCAGTGACCTAAATCCATGACCTTCCACGAATTTTTTTTAAAAAATAGTTAAAATCATGACAAATTTTGTTCAATAACGAAAATCATGACTTTCCAGGTGCGCGTATACCCTGTATGTTACAAAAGTAAACTATATTTCTTAAAAGAGTGCTAGTGTCTTATGGTAATAAAACAAGTTTGAATCATGCTATTTTGACACGTAGAACAGGATCCGATAAAAATAAAAGCATTTTTCCTTTGTTTGTAAAATCTCGTCAACATAATCTTTCATGAAAGGTTGGCTTCTTGATAGCCCTTTTTCAAGAGGCACAAATATTTTTTTTATAAACTATTTAAAATATGTGTCTTTGAAATTTTAAACAAGTATGTTTCATTCAGTAAGTATTAAACATGAATAACTCTTCTAAAATACACATAAATAATAATTAGTGAAACAATTAAAGAAACAGAACTACTGGCATGCCCAACAAAATAATTGTAATATTAAAATAACTTACAAAAGTGTCACATCAAAATATATCAGGAATATATTCAAAATTATCAGATAATAAAAGGGAAAATATGAAAGTGAAATAATGAAAAGAACACATTTGAAAGACAATTTAAAAGACTAGTTTGTATACGTCAAGCAGGTTTACTATTTTTTTTTTTTTAGTTTAAATACTCTTCACAAAAATGATCTCGTCTCAAAATTAAATATATAAAAACTGTTCTTTCATCTTAAAAAAGAATTATTCAATCAAATTACAGCACACTTGTATTCAAGCACTTTTGACATTGAACATAAAATATAGTGACCAGGTCCCGACTAAGTTTAATTGGGGCCAGGGGCAAAAACTTGCTTTGTGGCCCTCATTACTTCAGTAATGAAGAACCGAACTTTATGGATGTATTTAAATTTTTCACCTCATTATAGATAACAAGAAAATTGACTAGAACATAAAATAGCTATTAAGCCCCCCCCCTTCAGGCATCAGACGAAATATCGTTCTGTCAATTTTCTGACAATTCTATATCCATCATTCTGAATGCAGTTTTCTGAGTGTTCCTTGCTGACATTAGGGCGGAATCCAGCTTAATTTTCGCAATTACGATGGCTCAATTAAGCCAACCAGAAATCTGTATTTTCTTTAACACATCACAAATACAGGTTTTTAATTGGTCAAATTTGTTCATCAGAAATTTAGCTGAATTCAGCCTTAGAGAGCCACAGATTTACGAAACATAAATTGTGTTCATACGATAGATTAATGAAGAAGCTAACATATAACTGACGGATTTTACACTGTATTGTATTGATATTTTGTTTAAAAAAAGTTCATAAGAGGAAACGTAAAATAAACTTTCTATTCGATTTGGGAGGCCGCATGCTCCTACCTTAGTCAGGCTCTGATAGTGACCACTGAAGTTGAATGTTTTATATCAGTGTTCCCCAACCGGTCTGTGGATCAAATGGTACCAGCCCGTCCATTTCATTGAAACTAAATTTAAAATATCTGTGTTCCATTAAAACTTCATCTTTTTAAAAAAAGGAGCCCCCGAAGGTAGTGACATAAATTTTTTAATGTTTATAATGAATCATTGTCTCCGATTACCCCCAGATGGAACCGTCTCAAAGCAANAAATTAAAAATATCTGTGTTCCATTAAAACTTCATCTTTTAGAAAAAAGGAGCCCCCGAAGGTAGTGACATAAATTTTTTTATGTTTGTAATGTATCATTGTCTCCGATTACACCCAGATGGAACCGTCTCATTGCAAAGAAACAAGATCAGGGTTCTCATTGATTTAATGTTCTAGTAAGTTAAAATGTTAAATTACTTTATAATTATTTTTTGGTGTAATTTGATTTAATTTGAAGGCATGTTTAAATAAAATTAATAAATCAAAAAAATCTAAAATATAAATAATCAATGCACCCCCCCCCCCAACGGGACGAGGTAAAATTAACAAACGTTGACAGGTCCGTCATGATAAAGAGGTTGGGGAACACTGTTTTACACGATTGAGAAATTTCCTCACAAAGGGGCTAACAAAAATATATTGACCTTTCTTTGTTTTGTCCAAATGAAAAATATTCCTACCTAATCTTTCAACATTCAAGGATACAGCCTTTTTTAGTTTTTTCCCACTAACAGAAAAATAATCTGAAAAGTGCTCAAACAGTGAATTCAGATTGGTGAAACCATAATTCTTTGTGTTGATATTCGTGTAATAATACTTCTGATAAATACTGCGAAAGAGAGCATATTCCACGCAACCTCCTTCCTTTTGTAAGAGAAGTATTATCTTCTTTGCAAGATTTTGTAGAGGAGTCAATAAAACATAGCCATCCTTAACCTGAAAGGAAAAAACACTTAAATTAAAACGAATTTCAACACTTGTTCAGGGTGCAAAGCCAAATCTTTCAACAAAAAATAAGCACCTTTTAAGCACTCCAAAGATATTTTTAAGCACTATATACATTAACAAAATGCATAATAATTTTCAAAGATTTTACAAGATCATGATAAAATAACTAGTTTCTGACAAAGAACTCTTTTCTTGATTATATTAACCATTATAAAATGATTGATAGATTTTTCGGTTTAATATCAGATGGTGGAAAATGAAGCCAGAAATTGAGTTACAAAATGCAACAGAGTTGAGAGCACATGAGAGTGCAATAATCTCAATGAACCCAGCTCAGTAGATGCACATATGGACTTAAGTATTTTATGAAACATGTAAAATGATTGGTGCTTTCATACAATATGGACTGACAGTATGTCGAAATAGATTGTATGTGAATGAATTGTGAAAGCATAGAATAAAACAAAGAGAAAAGCATGCTTTTGCATAATACATGGAGAAAATGGACATGGTAAAGAAAAATCATTTCAAATAGGGCAAATTAAGCACTCATTTTTGAAATAATTAATGAAAAAGGCACCTTTAAGGGCTTCTAAAAAACAAAAATTGAAAATAAGCACCTTTTAGCACTTTCTTAAAAACGCTTTATATTGAGTTGTAAGAGCTGTGTCTCTCATGCCACAGGTCCTGGGTTCGATCCTCGGACTGGGCAAGGTTGGCTCAGTCTTTTATTTCAGTAGGACGTTAAAATGAGTACCAAGCATGCATAGGAACTAAGTACAGGGAGTTCTGCGTTCCCACCCAACCGTAACATTAGCTCTGGTGCCCCAGACTCAAAGGTCAAGAAAACTGAGATGGACCCAGTAGTCCTTGGCCCTCTATGGGCTGTCACACCACTGAGTTCAGTTTTAGTAGTAAGAGCAGTGCAGATTAGAAAGATTCTATTCCAAATAAAAGTTCAATGTAAAATGTGTGGAAATAAAAAAACAGAACATCTTGATAACTTTTTTATCTAATGATCAGAATGTAATGTCATGAGAAACAATCACAACGACTTAGAATGATAAATTTTAATGTGCTTAAATATGCAGGGGTAATTGTGAGCCCAACTACTGAAAATTTCTTAAGCAAAATCATTGACGCATTTCAAAAAATTACTTTCCATATAAATTTAAATTATTGATATTTTCAAAACATGAAATTCTAAATAAATTATATGCAGCATAATTTAATACGATAATTATGTATAAGTTTACTTTTATGTCAAATCACATTTATTATTAAACCAGAAAAAATATTTACAAATGAAAGAGATGCCAAGTATAAATTCTAGTTCTAATATTTCTAAAGAAAATATCCAAAAATTCTTATACATAAATGTTATCATTGATTTCTTGAAACTTCTGGACCTTGGATTTCCCAAAACTTCCAGATTGTGGTTAGCAAAAAATCCGGATTTTTTCCGGAAACAGAATCATCTCTAAATATGCAGTGCAGGTGATATTTAAAAACATGCCATCAGACACAAAGATGTAATTTCTCTGTATAAAAATTCATTTTTCCAAGAGATTTCAATTCTTGACCCTCAAAGGCATAGTTCAAGTGTCTATAGGTTTAATTTTGCTTTTTTTGGATTTCTCCATAGCTTCAGAAAAAAAGATTATGCACACAACTAAAAAACAAGTTTATCAAAAAACACTTACATGCAAAATATAGTAGTTTATGATTCATTATTTTTATAATACAGTCCAACCTCGTCCCATCTTTCCTGTATCTTCGGTTTACCGTAGGTATCGCCTTATTTTATCGGTCCAGTCACTAATATTTATTCTTACAATGCTCATCATACCCGTTTATATTGTTTTCAAAAATAGGAGATTCTTTAACAGTAGAAAAATAGTAGTTTATCATCAAGAAATTCTACTGACATTACAAAAAAAAAATACTGAATACAATTAATTTAGAAAAGAAAAGCTGTAGGTGATGCTAATGATGAAGAAAACAATGATTTGTAACAGTTGGGGGGAAATGCCTCAAACATCATGTTTGAGGTTTATGCATCATTTGATGTACCGCTCGAGCTGCAGTGGTGTTATGGGTTTCGAGAAATGGTTGCAGAAGCAAGGGAACACCGATGAAGATGGCAAAACTGAATCACAATCAGTGCCAGGCATTGGACAATGAGGAGCTGTATTCACATTGAACAGCAACCTTTTACAAATGTTGAAAATTTATTGTTTGTGCCAAACAAAAAAGAGTCATCCTCATCATAGTTAGCCAGACAGTCCAATGTCTTCCTCTGAAGATTTCTCCATAACGACTTCTGATTTTTCAATGATCTCTAATTAGTTGCAAGAAAATCGGACTCCACCAAATCAGCCCCCCTCAACCGCAACCCCCCCTTGCTTTCTTGTTCCAGTGGGTTTAAAAAGCAATATCCTTATATTTTTTGTCATCATTCATTTGAATCACCATTCAATTCATTATATTTATTTTTATGTTCTTATCAGGTTGCTTACTATGATAAACATAGAAGAGTATACAAATAAAATTCCAAACATTTAAATAAATAGATGTATTTATTCATCATACTTTTGTATCAGAAATATTTTTGCACATGTTTTTTATCAATTAAAGCTTTTATTCCAATTATACATTTTACAGTCTATTACTTCTTCATAATTTTCAAGTCTTAATTTACTATTTTATGTTGACCCACATTCGCTGTTTTATTATGTGTAATGTTCTTAATGAATGAGTATAATGATTAATGAATGAAACCATGAGTAAAGATCGAGTGAGGTTTTACTGTACTAATTAAAAATTTTTTTTTTAGAAGTCTAAAAAACCAAAATTTCAATTTTGTCATTTAAGAATTGCATAGTTCAAAATAACATAAAATTTTTAAACGTATGACTTACAATTAAAATTTTTCTGATTAAAACTAAATCTGAAAAAAAAAAATTAAATAATCTTAAATAATATTTTGCTTGAAATTATTTCTGGAATAATGGCGTTTGAAAAGCCTGCAAAAATTTTATAGTTCCAAATACCGGATCAAAAACAAAAAGTAAAATTGTGTGACTATTTTTCATTGTAATTCACGTTCAATAAAACACTGATATACTATGTTTTTTTAGCGATTTTACCTTTATCTATTATCTTTATTTATTATTTTATGTTGATTAACATTCGTCGATTTATATATATTGCTCATAATGAATGATCGTTAAATTTCTGATCTATCTGGGCAAAATCAAATTTTCTGAGATTTCACAGTTTCTAAACAATTACAGATTTTTATAATATAAATAAGAGCAATTGAAATTTAGAAATTCGCATAAATATTAAGAATTTACAATATATGCAGAAAATTGTTCCTTTCCTCAATCTGAATTTATTTTTTGAGTCCCATATAACTGGACAACATTTAAATAATTACATAAATAAATTCAGGATTAATTTCATCAAAACAGTGTATACAATAAAGAATAGATTTTAAAAATATATTTTAATATAAAAAATGGATGTAACAAAATTATTAATTTGGATTCTTTATTAAAACAGCATTATGACAAGAAAAAAAAAATGAGAGCATTGCTTATAAGTTTTAAAAAGACAATGATTAGCTAAAAAGTAATGCTTTAATCCACTTTAGGTCAAGCATAGGAAATTTATAAAATGTGGTATTATTTTCAGTGAAATATGCTTACATTACATTAAGACAAACACACAAAAAAAATTTTTTTTGTATGAAAAATTATATTTTATACAAGAAATAAAATGCTGCATATAGGAACCATTCATCAAATTAAAGAAAAAACCATTTAGTTGAACGCTTGTTCTTTTATTAAATTTGTTTTATTTACTGACTTGCAACTTTAATCCATTATAAAAACATATGATAAATCTCAAAAGGAATAATTATACATTTAAAAAAATTTCATTTGTCAATACATAGAATAGTTTAAAAATTTCTCAATAGAAAGTATTTATTTCAATTGAAATACTAATATTTTATGGATGTCTTCAGAACCCTTGACAACAGCAGAAAAATAAAATTCGTATTAAAATTCGTAATAAAATTCGCATTGGCCATTCATTGCTGGAATTCGAACCTGGGATCATTTCGTTGGAAGGCGAGCGCTCTATCCCCTGGGCCATCACGGCTCAACTTAAACTATTAACGCTCAACATACTGCATAACTGGCAATAACACCATCTGTTGAGGAATAAGAGAAGTATTTTTGTCATCAGGGGATATTTTATCATAAGTTTTTTTCTTCGTAAGTTTCCTCAACAAGTAGGGAGAAATTTGAGAATATACAAGTAAACAGAAATTAGTAAAATACAGGAGTCTTCGTTAAAAAAGACGAGACTTGGCAGGCATGCATTTATTCAGCATCATTTATTGTATTCTGGTTTAAATATTCAAGAATTCTTTACTTTATGTTGGAAAGTGATTTTAAAAAAAGTCAATATAACTCACCTCAATGAATTCTTCCATATCTTTGAAATGTAAGGAAGGGGTTATCTTGTGACCATATCGCATTTCATACTTCTCACAAAATTCATTGATGGTCATTTTACTTTCCAGTTGCTCCATCAATAAACGCCGGATATTAAGTGATATTTGATGGATCACTTTCTCATCCACCAAGGTCACGTAAGTCCTGACATACCCAATCACTATCTAAAACATTAAAATTAAGCATTATTTTACTTTAAATATGGAGACAAAAAATGCACTTAACAAACTATACATCCATCTACCTAGAGCAGAATAATGAAACACCCACTTTCTCCAAGTTGTGACACAGCAGAGGGGAAAACACTATTTGTTTAAAGTTAGAAATATTTTCACCTAATATTTTTTCCCATTCACATACCTGTCAACGTTTGAGAAATAAAATAAAGAAGATTTTACCAGCAACAATTCTTGGGCTATGTGTACAGTTTTGATACACCCGGCATAATCATGTTAGTCAAAAAGAAAAATTCAAAATTGGAAATACAAGCACTTATATTTAGCAAAGTAAAAAATAGGTAGATAAATATTATTCTAAAGAAGATTTTTTAAAAACCATTATTCATAATTTAAAAAAATTAGCTTTATTTTACAGAATTTTTATATATTTATATTTCGAACATAAATAGCTGATTTGGCTTCGCATAGGAAATTTTTATCAAAAATCTGTTTATAACAGTTGCTAAAGAAATTACTTTTAATCAAAAGCAAGGCTTCAAGCTTTTCCTCAAAAAGTGATGAGTAAAATTCGGAGGGAACTTTTTTAATTTTAGAGAAAATTCTCTTGCACTCTGCGTAATGCATAAGATACCTAACATAACATCTGCTTCTATACTTCTGAAATGTTTTTTTTTTAAAAATACAGTTCATTTTCTAGTTGCACAATTGACACTCACAATAAATGATTTAGAAAACAGAAATACATTTATGCTTTGACGATTGGTAAACAATTTGAAAAAAAAAATTTGGATTTTGTGTTTAAGAACAAGAAAACGGGAAAGGCCTCGGTTCAGATGACTACATTTTCGGGTTTACGACTACTAATGTTAAACTCTGTAGCCTTGTAATTCTAAACCAAAAGACAAGGAAACTCCTGTATCAGGGCCCCCAATGGTATTCATTCGTTATGGGAACCTTGAGACAACAGATTTAACGTGCATCAGTCATCATTTACTACACAGGGAGTCTTCCGCCAGCGGGGATCGAATCCACGAATTCCAGGACATGGGCCCAGTGCCCTACCGACCCAGGGCTAAAGAGAATAGAAGGGCTAGTTCACTCCTTTGAAGTATCTCTTGCCGCGCCGATCCTCCGACGTCACTCTAGTGACGTCACTTTGGCGCAAAGCTCGCACTTTTACTTCNTCATATCTTTGCTTGCGATCTCCGAGATCTGTAGACACAGTGACGTCATGAGGAGCTTCAGCTCTAAGAGCGGAGTGAACTAGCCCTTGTATTCTCTTTAGCCCTGCTACCGACCAGGCTAGTCTGGCCTTTTCTTGCAATTATTGAAAAGAATTCGAGACCAAAGATAGATAGAAAGTCGTTACGGAGAAATCTTCAGAGGAAGGCATCGGCTCACATTAGGCTGTCTGGCCAACTATGATGACAGGGTTGCTACTCAAATCTGGAAAAAAATTCCCTGTGTTTTCCCTGTACATATTACACACAATATATTAAGAGGAAATAACAATTACTCTGCTCTTGTGTGAGCTATATTGGGCTAACTATATTTATTTGTTTTAATTGCTGGAAAAACAGCTGAACATACTTAAATAATGCTATAGTAAATGAAATAGTTTAGTATAGATGAAATATCATGGTTAATTATCCCATAGATTATGCTTTCAGTGGTCACAATTTTTTTAAAAGCAAAAATAAGAAACAAAATCCCCTGTATTTTCCCAGTTAGTAAAGAAAAAAATCAAAATTCCCGACATTTTCCCTGTTATTTTAGGTGCTTTTTAAATTCTCTGTATTTTCCAGGTTTTCCCTGTGGAGTGGCAACTCTGTATGATGATAATGAAAAATATTTAATAAAATTTTTTAACCCACTTTGATCAAAATAAAAGTATGCAACCTGAGGGTCAAGGATTCACAATGTCTTAAACAGTCTTATAAACATATAGAAGAAAGAAAGAAAAAACTATTTGCCAAACTATGCAAAAGACTGTTTCAAGAATAATAATAGTTTTCCAAAATTAATATGCAAACCAGCTAATATGGTGTTCAACGATATTCTTAAGTTGTTACGAAAATTTTACGCAATTTTATATTAAAATTAACCAGGGTAGCCACTCAAATCTGAAAAAAAAAGTCCCCGCGTTTTCCCTATACATATTATACACAATGTATTAAGAGGAAAGAACTACTGTGCTCTTATATGAGCTATATCAGACTAACTATACCAGTTTTAATTGTTGGAAAAACTAGTAAAAAAGAAACACCTGCACATACTTAAATAAAGCTATAGTAAATAAAACAGTTTAGTATAGCTGAAATATCTTCCTTAAATATCCCATAGATTTCTCTGAGTTTGGTTGCCATTTTTTAAAAGACGACAATGAAAAACACAGATCCCTGTATTTTCCCAAGTTTGTAAGGAAAAACTCAAAAATTCCTGCATTTCCCTGTTATTTTAGGTGATTTTCAAATTACCTTAATTTTCAAGGTTTTCCCTGTTCCTGGCAACCTGTTACAGTTTATGGAATGTAATATGTTGGGACGGTAGCTATCGACAATGTCAACTTTCATCTAGGAAAAGGTACCAAAACACAAAATCGAGTTAACATGTCCTATATACTAGTGAATTGGAATTGTATTTTTGTAGTGGTAGACGTACGATAGTACTCCACCCTCCCCAGATTTATATCTGTGACAGAATTCGATGAAGAGATACCACTATTTCATACATTGCTGTTTTGTGATAAGCCTCTAGAGCTGTATTAAGATCACCGGACCGTGAGTGCTGATCGTGAGAGCTGTATTAAGTTCACCGTCGAGGTCACTCTTATGCTGCCATTAGCAATTGAGTGCATACAAGTCAACGTCGAGTGCGATCGAGACTGAGTAGCAACAACGCGAGGAGGTGGATAATGTCGCAGTCACAGATAGCAAGTTAACTGTTCAATATGGTTCATCTATCTAAGTAGGTGTTTCTAAATCGAAGTGGGATTTTCTTTCAAGGTAGGTGTGTTCACATCACATCCGGGTCACTAATGTGGGGATGGTAGCTATCGACAATGTCAACTTCCATCTATGGTAAGGTACCCCATTATAGAATCGAGTTAACATGTCTTATATACTAGTGAATTGGAATTGTATTTTCGTAGTGGCAGACACAACACAAATATTCTAAAGGCAAAAAAAAAGTTTTTTCAATTCTCTGTTAAGAATCAGTTAAATCCCAATGAATTCCAACCACAAGGTATTGTCTCCCAGAGTTTCTAATTGCCAGAAATTGTTGCATATCTCAAAATATAAACAAAAATTAAAATTACTTTCAGTGCATCCATGTGCTCGACTAAATCTTGTAAGTCATTAAAGCCAAAGTCGGTGGGTCTCAGAGAGTGCCCGTGCAATTGCGCATAACAAGAACTTATCTGGTGAATGTCAATCACTTCATTTGGTTGCGACTTCAGGACTGAAACCAGGCGTTGGGTAAGGATTTTGTGCTGCTCCTTAGGCACCAAGCACAAGACTTTATCCTCCCCCATTCCGGTAACCTATTAAAGACAAAGATTAGAAAATTATTTAACAATCTTTTCCATGTAGTTATAAATTCTTTTATTTATTTATCTATTTCTTAAAAAAAAGAGAGAGAGAAAAAACTACAATCCAGGACATGCTTTTTACATTTTTTATTTAAGTTTAGCATCATCTAACGCTTGTTAAATACATTTGATTTCTTTTTAAATACATTAAAATTTCTAAATACTCTTGCTCCTACATTTTCGTTAAATTTCTAAAAAATAACAACAGGGTGTGTAGCCAAATCTTTCAGCAATAAATAAGCACCTTTTAAGCACTCAAAAAAAATTTTTAAGCACTATTTACATGAACAAAATGCAAAATAATTTTCAAAGACTTTACATGATCATAATAAAACAACTAGTTTCTGAGAAAAAAAACTCTTTTCTTGATTATATTAGCCACCATAAAAAGATTGAGATTTTTCAATTCGATTTCAGAGAGTGGAAAGTGAAGCACTTTTTGAAAACGCTATGCACCATGAACAAGTCTTAACAATAGTTTGAAAAAATGGAATCAAATGTTGTCATTTTCTGAAACACACTATTTGAACTATTTTCACTTTGTTAAAACTCACATTTCAAACTAAGTTTAATTTTTTGCATGCAGTTTGAGCTGAGCTACATATCTCAAATAAAAACTCAACAGCATACTGCTTTCTTAAAAAGTAAATATTTTTGAAAGAGCTATATTTTCAAATAAATGTTAAAAAAACTTTTTCGTTGGAAATATTTTTGAATATTAATATATTTTCAAGTAATTTTATAACTGTAAGAAATATAAATGCATCAGAGCAGAATTTTTTTTTTTAGTAGATATCAATTTATCGGTACAAATTTAATCAAAACTGAACAAAAAATATCCTTCAGAATTTATAACAGACTTTTAGAGAAAATAGAATTTTATACATTTAAATTAAGCCTTCTTGAAAGATTTTTTTGTATGCAGTTGAACCTCATTAACGCAAAACTGCTTAACATGAAATACTGCTTTGCATGAAACACGTTTCGTCCCGTGAGTCAGCAATCAGTTGTTGTTGTATTCTACATGTTTAACATGAAATTTCTGATTATTGCTTAGCATAAAAGGAAACTGGACACAGCACAGATAATAAGCATGTGAATAAAATCACCATCATTAATTTTGAGGAAGGTTATTTCTATTTTCTTCTTTTGTTAGAAGTAGTAGATGGGCAAGTAAATATAGTTAAAACTTTTAAGCTTATTTCAATTTGTTTGGTTCATAACAGTATTGTTTGTATACATTAATGTATCACATAACATAAATTAATACAGTCAAACCCTGCTATAACGAACCTCCAAGGGACCGAAATTTCGGCTCCCTATAACCGAGACTTCACTATATACATTCACTATATACATTCACTATATACGAACAATTTTGACTAATGGTTTTAAATTCCACCTTTTTATTACACATTATTTAAATAAATGATCAATAAAATGAAATACAAAAATAACTGAAACATAAAATGTAGTAAAAAAAATGTATTAACTTTAATTTTTTATTTCTTTTTGTCTTGCGTACAAAAAAAAAAAAAAGAGTAATCCTTAGCTGATGAACAATCCTCAACATCAGTTACGGAAACACTTCCAGACTCTCCAATAATTTTCACGAATTTGTGTTATTCCGCTTTTAAAACCTGTCTAATCAGCCATTGAAGGACATAAAAGTAGTTGCACCAAATTGCTTAGCAAATTCATTGGCTTTGACTTGAAGTATTTTTTCAGATACTGGAAGATTGCAGCTTCTTTGAATGCTGAACCAATTCAATAATGAAGCAAACAAGAAAATGTGCTTATTCCTACATTCCATGATATAGATTGTTTTAAAAATTGGTATATGTATTTAGTATGAAGTAGAAATTTTAAAATTATCACAAAAAATGAAGAAAATAAATCAGTTGAAGACAGAAAAAAGTTCATAATATAGAGCTTCCTCTCTTTTTTCGGTTCACAATAACCATAAAAAATAACATTACATGTGTGTAGCAAGGCCTATATCGGGGAGTTCACTATAAAAGGTGTTCACTATAGCGGGATTTGACTGTAGTACGTATTACTTTGTTTTCATAATGTATCAGATAAGACGAAATTTAGTTGATATGAAATAATAATGATAGTCCAGCCGGATTTCATGCTAACGAGGTTTGACTGTATTTAAAAAAATTCTCAACCAATTCCAGGTCTGTACGGATTAATAAAAGTTCTTGTTTTGGTGATTAAGGAAGATCAACTGAAGTCTTACTTCTAAAATATGAGGTATAGCTTCAAACAATTCGATGAGTTTTGTGAAACCATAGTCAGCTACACGGCACTGTTTTCCAAAATGGTGATGGTATGCAGGAATAAATTTATTAAATGCCATTGTACAACAAGGTGTATGCTTTAGTAATTCAATTACTTCAACAGCAAACTGCTTTGTGCGTTCTATCTCTTCAGGTGTTTGTTCTAGAAAGAAAAAAATTCTCCAGTTAAACAAAAGAGAATTTCGCTAGATGCAACCATACAAAGTTGAAATTTTAATCTACATTTACAAGAAAAATGTACGTTTTTTTACCCAAAGAGCACACTACAATATTCTCAATTACTACGCAATCATTTATTAATTATGGATAATAAACAGCTTAATAATTGTAAAAAGCTTAATAAAAAAGTAGCTGACAATTATTTTAAGACAGTAAGACAATTATTTTAAGACAATGAAATAAGTAATTATTTAGTAAGTATTTTAAGTAATTAAGTATTAAGTAAGTAAGACAATTATTTTAACTTAGAGTTATCAACATCAAAAACATAATGATAGTGGAATTTATTTATTTAATATTAGCTATGTAGAAATACTGTTCACAATCCACAGAGTGTGCTCCAATTCCATAGTTGGTGCTCAAATTGTGTACTCAAAATCCATCCATAGTAGACAAAAATTCTTTTTTACAAGTCAATTAGATATTTTTTTCTATTTACTAACCAAAGCATATGATAAAATATTTATAACACTTTATATTATTTAAAATCAATATTATAGTTAAACAGTTAATAATTTTAAAATTACAATTATTATTATTCATGTTCAACATTCTGATGGATTTTAAAAGACAGTGAGGCAATTTGTTATTCAGATATCTAATGAAGAGTAAATTAGATAAGATTAAAAAAAAAAAAAAAAAATTACTGGAAAGAGAAAACATTTATTCTAAGTTACTCCAGGTAGAACAACCCTTTATTCATTATCGATGAATAATGCAAATTACACATTTAATAATCTTCAAAAGCACTTGTATTTTAAGCAATATAGAACAAAATGGCTATAATGGAAATATGTTTATTACCAGTCAGGGTTCGTTAAGAGGAACCCAGAAGAGAAAAATCAGCAGGTTTTTTTCAGATTAAGCCCACTTGAAAAAAACACATTTTTATATTCACCTGTGGGATGTTTCACATTTTATAATTTTCAATCCTATTTTCGTTGCAATTATTAAAAAAAATTGCTCTTTAGAATTATCAAATTATTGCTTGATAAATTTAGCTTCGCAACTTTTTATATAAAATCATATGAAGTAAAACATTACAGAAATCAGATTTTCTTTCCAAGCCAATTTAATACAAATAATGATACGTAATAAAAATACAGTACGTGATTTAAAAAAAAATAAAAAATCATATTGCTAAATTATAATACAATACATATCTATAAAACAAATTATATGCAAGATGCATACACATTACACCAATCACTAGTACACACATTACATTAACTTAATAAATTTCTTAGCTAAGAAATTTTTGTGATGAGTATTTAAAAAGATTAGACCAAAATATCCTCATTTTATTCTAAGATTTCTATCACATCTGTACACTGTATCGTTTGCAAGAGGAAGAAAAAAAAAGGTTTGAAGGAAAAATTAGAATTTATAATTTGGCAGAAACCACAATTCAGAATATCAATTAAAAGTCGAAACATATCTTGTTGCTCAATTATTTATTGTTTCTCTTATGACAAGACTAGAAAGAATATTTTCTAAATTTAGATTCAAACTATGAACTAGCTTAGGGTCCGAAAAGCAAAAAAAAAAACTTCTTGCTAGGTTTATATATTTAAAAAAAAAAAAAAAGAGAGACTTTCTTATATATTTAAATTTTTAGTTCAATGAAGTTGTTGACATATGAGATTACACAGAGATTAAGCTTATATTTTACATTTTAAAGTGGTTACACGCCCGCAGTGGACAGATCATAAAGACACAGTTCCCAGTAGAAGAACTACTGAAACTAATGATTTGTACCCAATTTTTTTTCCCAGGGAACATAAAATTTCTGTATCTGTTCCAAAGAAAACAAAATATAAATAAATATCTTATATTCATTCATTTCTGCGAATATATTAAGAATTTATATACTAATTATCAGAGAAGTAAATATCATGATTTATTAAATTTATTGCAAAAAGAATGGTAGAAATATTCAAATGGTTAAGCAATAAATATTCAACATCTAAGATTCACAAGTATTACATTTCCAATAAATATCCTAAGGTTTTTAGCAGCGTATTAATACATTTTATTTGGGACCATTCCCTGACACCTCTGCGTTTATCATGTCTTAATGTTTGTTAATGAGGCCTCTGGGTATAAAGAAAATGGGAAATTGTAACAGGCATATTTTCTTATTAAGCTTATTATACAATGCATTATCCTATCAAAATTAGTACATTTATTACTTATGAGCAAACATTTATGACATTTCCAATCCTAAAATTTGTAGTGACCTTTTAAATATTCAACGTTTAAGACTCAAAGATATTATATTTCCAATAAATATCCTAACGTTTTTAGCAACATATAAATGAATTTCATTTGCGGCCATTCCCTGACACCTGTGTTTTAACGTTTGTTAAAGAGGCACACGCCCACCTGGTATAATGAAAATGGTAAATTGTAATAGGCATATTATCTTATTAAGTTTATAATACAATGCATTATTCTGCCAAAATTAGTACATTTATTAGTTATGAACAAACATTTATAATATTTATAAGCCTGAAAATCACACCATAACAAACAATTTCAATAACAAAACACAAAATTAGAAAACAAAAATAACAAAATAATTTAACTTTGAAAATGCTGTTACCTCGTTTCGGAATTCCAATCAAAGTTTCATCACCAGATGAGCAAATCTGCAAAACAGCAAACTTTTGTTGAAAAAAATAAAGTACTAATCAAAATAAATGTCACACTTCATTATTTAAACAAACAAATATCTTTCTTTACACACATGTTAATAAAGGAAAATGATAGTAAAAACGCTTTTATTAACTAAAGAAAAATGCAGTGAAATTTGCACTGTTTACAGACCAGTGAGCAAGGAAATATTTGTTCCATCATCCTTAGAACAAAACAGAAACTAAATGAATATCATAGTTACTTTACTGCTTTGACTTTTGTACTCACAAGGGAAATATGAATTTCTGAACTTTCAACTTAAACAGAACAAGACTTAAACTCAAGAACCCGGTCAGAAAAATAAAATAGGGTAAAAATTTTACACAACGGCTGATTCTCGGTCAAAATAAAGTTCTGAACACACGTAGATACTAGGAATATCAGGGCAAAAAATTGTGTCAACGTATTTCTAATCAGGAAAACTAAGAACATTCAAACAAATCTTGCCTCAAGGATACTGAGAGAAAGTAACTATCATATGTCTGGGGATAATAGAATGTCAGCCTTCTATCAAAAGGTACCTCAAGTATTGAATCGTGTTATATACTAGTGAATTGATATATAATAATTGTAGTGATATGATCCCCCACCAGAAGTTTTATGTGGGATAGAATTCGATGAACGTATACCATTAGTTGCTGCGTTTGCGAAAGAGAGCTGTATTAAGTTCACCGAGTTTTGAGCGTTTGTTGTGAGAGCTGTGTTAAGTTGGGTGTGTGGCTTCTCCTGTGTTCCTGTTGAGTGTGTAAATGAGACTGAGAAACAACAACAACAGTCAGAAACAGCAAGTATAACCAAGATCACCACATTGGTGACCTTCGGACGTGATCTGAACACGCCTACCTTGACAGAAACTCCCACTTTGATATGAACACGCCTACGTCGATGGATGATCCTCATTGAAGAGTTGCAAGTTACTTGGGAATGCAACATTATCCACCTCACACTGTTGCTACTCAGTCTCGATCACACGATGCATCGGCCTGTATACATTCGACTGCTGATGACAACACGGGAGCGACCATGACCGTGGATTTAATACAGCTCCATTTAGTGGACCATTCTTTAAGGTGGACGTTACTTTCGATGAAGACTAGTTCATATAACACCTGGGTCACCAATGTGGGGAGAGAAGTAATTGGCAATACAAATCTTTCATCAAAAGGTACCTCAAGATTGAATAGAGTTAGCATGTCTTACATACATTAGTGAATTGATATTTTATAATTGTAGTGGTAGTTAAGTCACATATGTAATATGGTAATAGTTTTTTTTTAACATTAGAAACAAAGAAAAGAAAAATTATAGAGACCCGTGATGACCCTTTTCAAAAAAGTCTCTCCAACTGTCTTATTTTATTTCAGATTCAGGAGATTGGAAATTAATTAAAAGATATAAAATTTTTTACAGAATCTTTCACTTAAAAAAGAAATTAAAATTTTGATTCATGGAAAAAAAAATTAAAACAGAACTTGCCAAAGAAATATAGCCTTGGTTAAATCAAATGTCTTTATTTCAGGAGAAAATTTTTAATAAATGGTTGGTAAAAAGTTAAAATTCTATATAAAACTTTATTACGATTTTCTGTAATTTAAATCTTACTGTATCAAATTTGTTTGGATAAAAAATTATTCATGGTAATTTCATTCGCTTTAAAAAAGTTTTTAAAAAAAGAAGAGAAAAAAAGAACGATTACGAGAAATAATGTGAAATGCATTTCATACAGTTTGAATTGAATAAGGCAACTGCAATAACTAATGAAAGACACGTGTATGAAAATTGACATAGCTAGAAATGCGCATTTACGAAATTTGGACATTGCTCAAAATGTGTGTTTACAAAAATAAACATACTAGTTCAAAATGCGTGTTAATGAAAGTGGACATAGCTCAAAATGGACTTGAACATTGTTAAGCATTAAACACAAAATTTCGACCCTGTATCAAATCCCGTAAAACAGGTATGGAAATTTTAAAATTTTTATGTCCATAAATTGACAAGTTAAATACAAAAACTTTTAATATTAAACTACAACTTTTAAAAATAATTATTGAATAACTTTAAAAAAATTAATATTTAATTTGCAAAATAAAAAGAAGCTGAGCTCCATAACAGCTTTTTACATGATAATCTGATTTTAACGGACTACGATGGATTGATTACGAGTACTGATTTTAGACAAAATTTAGCAAAAATGTAATCTATTACATTTTTTGAGTACAGTACTCATAATCATGATTACACACTCAATTTTAATTACAGCTGCAATCGTGATTGCCATATTCAATAACTTTCAATCGTGATTACAAGTAATCAAAATATAAGATTACAAGTAAAAACGATTGTATACAGTATGTATCATGTTATACAACACAGATGGTATAACGTAATGCATAATAATACATTTTGTATGCATTTACCTAATGCATATATAGGTAAATACTTACATACATACACATATATTTATATATATAATATATATGTAGTAGACATGTATGTATATACACAATGATTGTATACACGTTCTGCAAATATAGTTTGTTCATCAGGAGTTGGCCAGGCCACCTCCTCTGACCCAGAGCTCATTTCAGCATGGGAGTAGAAACGTCTTCTCGCTAGAAATTAAGACAATCCTTAATGCTTGCCAAACACAAACAGTGACTTCTTTTTCAGTCACTTACTTCTCTTTATTACCTATTATACCTTTCGTTTCTCTGACTAATTAAATATATTTCAAATTTAAAAACTGCTGTTTTCCCAGCAAAATGTCTCAAAAAAGAAAAACTATTCACTCAAAATACCATAAAAAATGACACAAAATAACATCAAATTTATGAAATATTCATTGTTATAGAAATGCAGATAAAGTTTTCAAAATAAATGTTTTTGCCATACGATTGCCAAATCAGGGGTCTGTATAGGTTTTTCTGAGAGGTACCTATTTTGCGAAAATTTAGACAAAATTTGCGAAAAATTAAAAATTATATTAAAAAGTCAACACAAAAATATGGATTTACAGTTTCATACGGAACACAAAAATTAAATTTTAAGAAAAAATATTTTGTGTAACTACCGTTTTTCCTTCTCCCAAAAATAGTATCATTGCATACCACATGATGGAGGCCAACTCCTGGTGAGCGAGTTATACTTATGCATGCACAATGTGAGTTTGTGCTTGTGTACGTATGTATATACAATGAATACCAGCTTTGTATAGTATGAACATACAGGAAATGCCTACATGTCTCATGTACATACAATATAAGCATATACCATTCATGTACATGCATGTACAACATCTACAATATTAGCACTATTTTCTGTTAGTACAAATTTTTCTACTAGTGATTGTTTGTATTTTCTATTAGTACAGTGTTTAAATGAAAACAATCACTATTCATACCACAATAACATTTTCGGACACTTCTTCTAGAAGATCCTCGATTTCACACACTCCATAGTTTGTCACTTCAAACTTTTTCTCAATCACTTGCTCATAGGATTGAGGAAATTCAACGAGTGCAATTTGTTTACTGGCGCGGGACTTCAGAATTCGAAGTAGTTCGGCGGAAAACCTCTTCACTTGAGTGCGATGAGTGAGCGTCACTTGGCGTTCTTGACCTTCTCCCAGTACCTAAAAATTAAAAAATACTACCGGTATTACCAAACAAGTGGAAGAAAACAATCAGGAAATATAAACCTATTAAAGAACAAAAAACAATTTTTATTATTTTGTATAGCTCAAAGTGACAAGAAATTACTTAAACAAAGTTTGAAACCCAGTATTTTTTGATCATTCATTGAAAACCAAAAATATATCTTTCAACAGGATGTTGCTCTAGTTAACAGAGCCTAAGGCAGGGTACGTAGCCAAATATTTCAACAAAAAATAAGTATTTTTTAAGCACTCGAAAAATATTTTCAATCCCTATATACATTAACAAAATGCAAAATAATTTTCATTGACTTTACATATAAAATACCTAGTTCCTGACAAAGAACTCTTTTCTTAACTATATTAGCCACCATAAAAAGATAAAGAGATTTTTCCGTTCGATTTCAGAGGGTGGAAAATGAAGTCCGAAACTGAGAATATCTTGCAAAATGCAGCAGAGTTGCACATGAGAGTGCAACAATCTCACCTCACCCAGGTCAGTAGTCACTCCCAAGTATTTTATTAAACATATAACATGATTGGAGCCGTGATACTTTACCGACCGAAGGCACTAAAATGCATTGTGGTTAAATTAATTGTGAAAACGCTGAATACAAAAATGTGAAAACCACGTTTTTGAATAATACACAGTGAAGAAAGAATATCTCATTTTAAAAAAGGAAAAATTAAGGACTTTTTAAAAACACCCCATAAAGAAAGCACCTTTAAGTGCTTTTAAAAAACGAAAATTAAAAATAAGCACCTTTAAGCAGTTTTTAAAAACGTTATGCACCATATGCTTATTTGATCATTTATTGAAAACCAAAAATGAATCTTTCAACAGTTCTAATTAACAGAGACTAAAGAGGCGTTTTCTTCACTTTCCTGCAACATAAGAATGGCTGTTTTATTCATCAGATTTGAAGCAGAGAATGATGAACCTAATGTTTTTATTTTAGATGTGACAACAATATAATTATTCTCATATTTTTAATTTTTCTTTATGCCTGAAAATGGTCGAAATTTCGATTGGATATAAAATAAATTTTGCTCACAATAATAAAGAAAACAATAGTAACTTGTATAGTCATCTGACACAGAGCTCCAGTTGTAATTTAAGCACTCTAGCTTATCAGAAAAACATTCGAGAAATAAAATAATGCATATTTTACTAGCGACATTTTTTAGGCTACAAGTGAAGTTCAAAAAGAGAAATTCAAAATTAGAAATAATATAAGCGCTTACATTTAGCGAAGTAAAATATATATATAAAATCTTAAGAGTATTTTAAATTATTAGTTATAATTACTTCAACTATTAACACTCAACATACTGCAGTACTGGCAATAGCACCATCTGTTGAGGAATAAGAGAAATATTTTTGCCATCAGCGGATATTCCCCCCNATTTAAAAAAAAAAAAATTTCTTCAATAAATTCAGAGAAATTTGAGAATATACAGGTAAACAGGAGATATTTATAAAATACAAGAGTCTTTGTTGAAAAACAAGAGGCTTGGCAGGTATGTTAATCTGTATACCTTGGTAGGTATGCAGATGATCAAAGAAATAGTAGTTGGATAAATCAGTTCAAATGAATAATTTTCAGGTTCCTAGTACAATTCTATTAATGGTGCACAGATCAACTCTTAATAGTTCTATATCAGTACAAATAAATTTTAATAGAACTGTTGCATTAAAAAAAAATAGAATCACTATCGATTAGTTAATATTCCCTCAAGCCAATATTTAATTCAAATTTGTAATCTAATTCAAGACTTCCTTTATCAAAGAATTTTAAAATAAGATTTAGCTAATCTCGAAATGGCAGTGGATATGCAGCTTTAACATTTTTGCACAAGTAATTAAGTGAATTATCACCTCCCCTGTGGCAGAATTTTACCAAGTTACCTGCGACAAAACTCTAGAGCTAATATCTTTCTGCAAGATACTTTTAATAATACCAAACCTATATGTTACTAATTCATAATAACAAAAGCGCTGTGTTTACAACAACAAAAAAACTATTATAATTCTTCTTTAATTGAATGTGTAAGAATTTTCTATTCTCATATTCTGTTGGGGGAAAAACTTACCACTTATTTACTTCTTCGCATCTTGTAAATAATCATCACAATCAAAATAAAAATCATGAAATTCGTTGCCGAAAAAAAGATCAACGACCAAATCACGCGAATCGGACTCCTCGAAAGCGTGTTTAATTTCGAGGTATAGTTGTTGTAATAAATAATATCGTAAAAAAAATATCGGATTTATTAACTATGGAGAAATCAGTAGCAACAACTGCCAATTATCAATTCGAATTTTCCATAATGTTTGAAACATATAGGGATATTAAAAAACCATGTGAAAATTAAAATCAGTAACCGCCGAAAATAAAATCTAAAAATTACATCAATTTGTGATACTATTGGCATAAATTGAGCGTGTCAAAAAGTGGTTATCTAAATGCATGATTTAAATATTACGTGTAAATTTCCTTAGAAAAGAAAACTAAAATTTTTTACTCATTAAATGAAAAATCTTTCTGCAAGAACTCTTAACGTTCTGTGACAATGTCGCTGTAATTCTGCCACGGGGGGTCACCTCACTTCTCCATTTAAAAATTTTATATTATTACGACATTGCTAATTGGAATAAATTATTTAAAAAATCATTTAAAAGAGACTAATTAATGTGAAACTAAAAACTTTACCACTGCATATGCAGAAAATAATAAGCCTATGACCCAGAACTTATCAACATAAAAACTTGATAAAATTGTTAAATGAGTTTTTTATAGAACCACTGAACAATAAATTGTGCAGACAATTACATATATTACGGTCATGTAAGCAAATGGTCCCTACGGTCAAACTACTGAATTTTGCAGTTTCACAAACATTATATAAAACGGTTTTTACAAATATTTTCTGATTTTTTTTAAATAAAAGATATACAGGGTAAACGGTTTTTACAAATATTTTCTGATTTTTTTAAATAAAAGATATACAGGGTATCTGTTACATTTTAGATTTTTAAATCTATGACTTTTGAAGACTTTCCATGACTAATTCGAAGAATTTTTCATGACTTAACGAAGCTACTATTTTCTATGACAAAAACACAACAATAAATTTAAAAAAGCAGTATAATAACATTAATTGGAATGATAGGTATAAACAAAACTGTTATACTCTGCATCTTTATATTTATAGATTTTAAATTTAAAAAACAGAGTAAAGAAAGAGTTGAAGCAATAAAATAAATGAAAAAAACACAAAAGCAAATATTTTTTTCCTCTTTTTTTCTGCTAAATTATATTCTGAAAGATACTGAAATCATGGAAGCTTAAAAGATAATTCACTCTAGAAATGATGTTTTTTAATTCATTTTTTGCAAGTACACCATAATTTTTAAAGAACATGATAAAAACATTTTATATTTTGATAAAATATGACTAAGAGTGGAGATTTTGTTACAAATTCAGATATTCGGAACACTTTATATTTTAATAAAATATGACTGCGAGTAGGGATTTTGTTACAAATTCAGATATTCGGAACACTTTACATTTTAATAAAATATGATTGTGAGTGGGGATTTTGTTACAAATTCAGATATTTGGAACACTATAAAGTTTGAGGGGGGGGGNTAAATTCAATTTTAAAAATTAGATTTTTCAGAGACCCAAATTCATGATTTTTTTTTTTTATTAAAAAAAAGCTCAAATCAGGAAAAAGTTTGTTCAAAACTGAAATCCACGACTTTCCAAGTGTGCGGATACCCTGTATATAGAACAAAAAAGTTTGAATTTTTAAATTGATTAATTTTAATACCTGCATTTGAATCTGAAGAAGAAAATGGGATGATCTGAACACACACAAAAATAAGGACAAAAAGATTAAAAGTTGGTGTTACCTGAACAATGTGAGGAATGGCTTCCAGGAGATCAATGAGTTTGGTGAAACCGTAGTCAGCAACACGGCATTGGCGACCAAAATGATGATGATAGGTGGGGATGAATTTGTTAAAAGACACCAGGCACTGCGGCTGATTTTTTAAAAGATCTATAACCTCACGTCCAAACAACGTTAGCTGCCCTGCCAATGCTGGGCTCACACTCTGGAGGCCTAGAAGAAAGATTTCTATTTGTGACTTTTATGTTAGTATTTGCATACTTTAGAGAACAGGGTGCGTAGCCTAATTATTCAACAAAAAATAAGCACTTTTTGAGCACTTAAATAATATTTTTAAGCACTTTGCAAAAAAATCACAATCAGGTAGGATTGGAAAGTTTTTAACAATTGAAGGTTTTATCTGGTTTTAACTGTCATGTCAAAAAAAAAAATTATAACTTTCGGCATTGTTTTTGACAATTGTCAAAATTTTTGAATTATGAAAATCGAATGGCGTTTTAATACGTTACGGACTGACGATACGCCGAAATAGATTGTGGTTGAATTAAATGAAAATCATATTTAAAAAATTAATAGAAAATAAATCACCAAAAAAGTTTAAAATTGCGTGTAATAATAAAATTAAATCAATTACTTGGAATTAAAGTTCCAGTTTTTTGGTTAATTTAGAACTTCTTACCAACCTGCATTTGAATCACTAAAAACTTTTGCTCATTTCAGATTTTTTGAGTTTATGTTTTTTTGCTTTACTATAACAGAGTGCGTAGCCAAATCTTTGAATCAAAAATAAGCACTTTTTAAAAACTTTTCAAGCACTTTACAAAAATTTTCAAGCACTCAAAAAATTCATATTGAAGCAATGATATTATTGAAAAACAAAAACTTTTATGAACAGTTTTAGCATTAAAAAAAAAAACCTAAAAGAAACAGACGTAAATCGAAACAATCAGTACTTTTCCACATCACCGAGTGAATTCAGCTTGACTCTGAACTCAGAGCAAAAGAACCCTTACCCCCTACATCAAAAGAGTGTTAGAAGCAAAATAAAATAAACAAGAATAAAATTAAAACAAATTAAAAAGAAAAACATTTAATAAGGATCGGACTCTATCCAAATTGGAGCACTCTGGTTTCAGTTTCGAGTGTGCGTGCATGCGCAAGTCATTGCGTGGGTACGACATGAAGTCCGTGTGAATGATTACGTAGCAAACACCCCATTTTTCATGAAATGCAGGGGATCCGTCAGATATCACTGAAGGGAAAAAAAATTATACGTGAAAAAAAGCACTTTTTAAAAACACCAGCTGAAAAAAGCACCTTTAAAAGCTTTTAAAAACGAAATCCCCCAAAAAGCACCTTTTAGTACTTTTTACAAACGCTACGTGCCCTGTATAAGGAGAGAAAGTTTTCTGAATCGCTTGTTGAGTGGGCAAAATAAGATTTCTTTGTTTTTATCAAATCGGTTTTGCTTTTTTATTTTAGTTGCAAACAAACAAAATTTTACATATAGTTCTTGGTAATAAGGGGGAAAATTACTTATTTTAAATAGATTATTATGAGAATTCGCAAAAATAGCTATTTTTATTACTCAGCCGTAATCTTGACCATTAACTGTGTGGCAGAATCCTTCTTATGTATGTTTAAGCTATTAAAATGTAGTGGTAGTTAAAAATAAATAAAAAACAAATGTGTTAAAACAGGAATCAATCATGAAATCAAAAATGTTATCACATTAAATACGAAAGTAAAACATTCCGGAAAATCTGGAAGAGTGGCTAGGTATGCTACAGTAATTCTGACGCTATCAGGAGTGTCCACTTGTGATGTCATGTGGTAAACCACTTGTCACAGATTTTCTCCTTCAGCCTCTTTTATCTTACATTACTCCATTAAGTACTTTTAACATTCCTTTTTCTTATGTTAACATCCATTTAAACTTTAAGTTAATTTTTCTATGCAAGCCATAAGCTAATTCTCAAATCTTGACATCTTTTGGTTTTATGTTTTAAATCCTTCCAGAGTTTTCCAAGTAAATTAATGTAATAATTTTACAGAATTACAGATAAATTTGCAGAAAATTCTGTACAGGAATGTTTTCAAAACAGTCTAAATATATATAAATGCAGACGTGCCAACCTAGCAAAATTAACATTCAGGAGTTTCCCTAACAAGAATTCAGGAGATTTCAGGAGGGGTAAAAAAAGGTGCATGGTATGCAACATTTNTCTAAATATATATAAATGGGTGATTTGTGCTTTGATATATATGATTATTAATATTAGATATTATTAATAATTAGATTTTTATAAGAGATCAAAGTGTGACGAAAAATAACAAATATTTAATGCAATTTTGAAATGTTTTCTTTTGGAATTTGCTTGAATTTTTATGATAACTTTTCCAACCTTCATGATATCTATTGAGATTCTTTCTGGTTACATAAAGAGAAGATAAAAAATAATATGCTTTGGAAACATTTTTAGATTTTGTAATTTATTTAATATTCTTGACAGCACTTTTAATTTGGGCAACAAGTATACTATAGTTCAGACAAATATTGATAATTTCAGTTAGTTGACTCTTAATCTAATTTCTGGAATTGTTGTGTCTGCATTGATTCAGATTTTTCTTCATGACAAATATTTAAAAATATATATATATATTGGTGTAATTGCATGGTTGCCCCAGAAAACAAGAACAAAATAGTTACTTTTAGTAGCCTAAAACATGAAAATAGTCAGAAACTTTGAAAACCTAAATACAAAATTTTCAATAATGTGACTAAAATTTCATTTCATTTATATAAATATTAGTGTTCTGGTACCAAATTTTTACATAAAAAAATATTTGCAGAAAATTAAATATTTTTAATAATTAGAATTCATTAAAAAATATACTTTTTCATTAAAAAAAAACACACTTTTTCTAAAAAGTTTTCCCTTTTATCAATAATTGATTTTGTAAATATATATATACATATATATTTGTGAAAAGTGATTACTCAAATTCAAAATTCATGCATCGTAAGATCGTATTAAAAATTGGTTTTTTAAAAAATCAGGCAGAATTTCGTGGCAAGGTGATCAAGAAACAAAATAGACTTACAATGGAATCTGTGTAAATTTAGTGCATTAAAAAGCGAGGACTCAAATCTGCAATTAAAATTTTTTTATTTTTTAAGAAAAAATAATTAATTGCATCCAGAAGCTCTCTCGGGCCTCAAGCTGTCAACCTAATTTATGCTAAAAACGTCACTAGGGGTACAGAAAAGTATTTTTATCCTGAAAAAAAATTTTTTTTTTTTTTAAAAAAAAGGCTTTTCAGGAAGAAAAAAAAAAGTCGCTATAGTCGCCTAAGGCAGAAAATAGTTGCCTATAGTCACAGTTTAGTCGTCTGTGACAACCTTGTAATTGAATTTAGTAGTTTTCAGTATCAAATTTCTAACACCTTGTTATTTTTTTGGATCACTTTGCATTGAGTTTTATTGCAAGAGTGAAGAAAGATAAAAATAAATATTATTACTTTTAACTTCCATAAGCTTATTTTCAAGCCATTGAACTTTCTTGATGCACAATGCGGACAGGGCTACTTCAACTCCATTTACACAGGCTATTAAATGCTCTAAAGGAACTCCTTTTAATCTTTCATCTTCGTACGTTCTTTCATCAACTACAGGTAAAGGGCCGATTTCAGCTTCATAACAATCACAAAAGCTAGTGAATAAATAAAATAACATCATGAGATACATCCGTATTATAAATATAATGCAAGAAATCAAAAATCACTAGAACATTATTTTTATATTAAACTTTTAACAGATAAAAACAACTTAATGATTGCTAGCCTTTTAAACCAGTATCTTCTTTCACTTGTGACCGACAGTAGCAGGATATTGTATAGCGATTTGTTCCAGTGATATTTCTTTTTGTATGAGTAATTTTTATATGCATTTGCATACTACATGCAAATACATAGCTCATGCTCAATATATGAGGTTGTTTCCATAAATGGACAATATATCTTCGTGCCGCAAATTGAAAGATATGGACAGTAGGGATACCTCTTTTAGTTTTTGACATTTTTATTCAACAGCAAGATAGCACATGGCTGATTCGCTCAGGCTGGACACAGGACAAAAAATATACTATATAGATATGTCTGTTTAAACAAATTAACCAAAACAAATGGATTCAGTTCTGAATCTCTGTACTTGGCCAATCATTCAACTTTTAATAAAAATCTTAGTTTATAAAAGTAAAAACAATAATGAAACTGAAAAGAAAAAGGCTGGGATAAAGGAGGTTTTAAAGGGAAAAAAGGAAATTCTTTGATTACACTGTAAAGAAAAGCTTATTTTTCTGGGATTTTATAAACGAAAAAAAAAAAGAAGTAAATACAATTTTGTGCTTGTTGAAAACAGAAAACTTAAAGAGAATTATGTTCCCATCTAGCAAGTATCAAAGAACATAAAGAGAATTATGTTCCATCCAGTAAGTATCTAAGAACATAAAGAGAATTATGTTCCCATCCAGTAACATAAAGAGAATTGTGTTCCCATCTAGTAAGTATCTAAGAACATAAAGAGAATAATACTCAAATATAGTATCTAAGGCCAATCTTTAGGTCATTTTAGAAACAGTTTCTAAAGTTTCTTTTCAATTCCTTTTTTTTCTAGAATAATTTAGCATAGGGAATTAGTACAGTCAAACTAAGCTTTAAAAAAAATTGCAACCCAGATATTTCATAAAATAACAAGCTGGTACCCATTGAGATCAGTTTATCTCACATGAAAAGCCCACAAAATCCTGGAGTTTAAAAGACAAGTGAAATTTAAATGATATCCAGACAAATGAGGATATGTTTTAAGAGTCTTTTTTTAACACTAGCTTGACTCATCATGGAGATAATGTTAGAATTTATGGTTTAGAAGTTAAAACGTATTTTGTGCATCTATTTCAGGGGGCATAGCCAAATTTTTCAACAAAATATATGCACCTTTTAAACACTCAAAAATAGTTTTAAGCACTACATACATTAATAAAATGGAAAATAATTTTAAAAGACTTTAGATGAACATGATAAAATAACTAGATTTTGGCGAAAAACTCTTTTCTTGATTATATTAACCGCCATAAAACGATAAGAGATTTTTTGGTTCGATTTCGGGGGGTGGAAAAATAAAGCCTGAAATTGGGAGTATATTGCAAAATGCAGAATTGCACATGAGAGTGGAAGAATTCTTCTGACTGAATCCAGTTCAGTATACGCATATGGACCTGCAAGTATTTCATCAAACATGTAAACAAACTCTTTCACACGCTACGGACCGACGGTAGGTCGACACGCAATGTGTTTGCATGAATTGTGAAGATGTGGAATAGAATAATGTGAAAACCGCGCTTTTGCATAATGCATGGCGAAAATAGATATGGTAAAGAGAAAAAAATCTCACTTTTAAAAAGGGAAAATTACGCACTTTTTTTTAAAAACATCCATTAAAAAAGCACCTTCTTTTTAAAAACAAAAATTGAAAATATGCACTTTTTAAAAACGCTATAATTTTATGTATCTATTTATGTTGTGTACCCACTAAAGAAATGACATAGCTATAATCTGGACAAGTGATTTTAATGGATGCTGAAACTAACGAGACCAAAAACTAATCCAAGCAAAACTTGATCCAGGAGTTCCCTTGTCTTTTGGATTAGGCTCAAAATTACAAGGCTACAGAGTTGAACAATAGTAGACATAAACCCAAAGAATAGGGTCGGCTGTTTAACGACAGTTATAAAATGAAAAATATGATTTCTCTAACAGTATCTGATTTTTTGTCTGGTAAGCTTTTATTAATACATTGAATAATCCTTCTGAGAAAAAATAAACAAACCTGATTAGTGGAAGAGAACCTTGATGAGTATCCAATAACCTATGGACAGCAGTTGAGAAAACTTTGAGAGAAATGTGCACATTGGGCAGTGGACAAATACTGTAATGTTCAGCCCATCCTTCGGAAACAGACACGTGGAAATGGCGTTCACAATACGGTCTTTCAATATTGTTCAAGTCCTATAAATAAAAATATCATTAAAATTATAAGGGATATTTATTTTCAGTGGATTTAATACAAAAAAAGAGAGTTAAATAAATTCATGAAAGTCATTAAAAGGTCCTTAATCTCTTCCGGACAGGCGAGTCATAAGAAATTAGAATCAGGATAGTATAAAATAAAAAGTGACAAGTGAAAAGTAAAAAATAAATAAAAACATACCTAATTTGACAGGCTTATTTTTGCTTTCATTTTAAATTTAACACATCCAATCCTAGGGAGTTAAAAGTGTAACTATACAATTTTTAACTTAAACTAAGTCTTGGTGAATTAAATGAAGCAAACTATTATTACCACACCCACAAATGAATTATTGCTATAAAAATAGTTTGGCTACCAGTTTTATTATTTTTTTACCCTGATTATTGACACCTAGAGAATGCATATAAGACAGCCCCGTTCTGAAGAGATTAAAAAAAACTTATGAAAACTTCCAGAAAAAAAGAAATTTCTTCTAAGACATTGGAAAAACTGAAATTGATTTAACAGGGTTGCCACTCAAATCTGGAAAAAAAAATTTCCGTGTTTTTCACTGTACATGTTACACACAATATATTAAGAGGAAACACAATTATTCTGCTTTTTTTGTGAGCTATATTGGACTAACTATACTAGTTTTAACTGCTGAAAAAGCTTACATACTTAAAACAAATAATGCTATATAGTAAATGTAATAGTTTAACATAGCTGAAATATCCTTAAATATCCCATAGATTGCACTTTGTGAGGTCACAATTTTTTAAAAGACAAAAATAAGGAACAAAATTCCCTGAATTGTCACAGTTTGTAAAGAAAAACTCAAAATTCCCAGCATTTTCCCGGTTATTTTAGGTGATTTTTCAATTCCCTGTATTTTCCAGGTTTTCCCTATTCTCCCTGCAGAGTGGCAACCCTATTTAAGAAATCAAACCAAATCTAAGAAATTAAAAATGACCAATATAATTCTCTAGCCTTTAGCATTATAGGACAATTTCATGAATTAAAAAATAAAATAACTATTTACAAATACCCTTAGCACATCACATTTAAGAGTTGTTTAGAGCATTCATATTAAGTAATGTTTCTTTCGATATCAAAAAATAGCAAAAGCCACTACCACTGTTTTTGGGTGTTCAGTTTCACACTACAATTTGTTTTGTAGTGCAAAAACTATTGAACTTAAATTGGAAATATGAAGGCATGAAAAAATGAATAGAGGGTATATATGAATAAAACTTTTTATTGATAACTGAGCAATTCCAAGCTACAAAGGACAACATAACCAAAAAATTTACAAATATATAAGCATTTAATAACATCCCTACATTAAATAATTTTTTTAAATTCTTTATTAACTCTTTTTAATATAAAATAAAAAATTAAAGTTTTCCATTACATCGCTAAATGATATTAAAGTCAACTGTTTGAGAACTGCAGCAGCGGATAATTTCTGAAGGAAAAACCTTTTACTTGGATTGAAATAGGCTGTAGAGCTACAGATGAAGAATATCAGCCACAAGAGCTTTTTTTCAACTTGCCATGTTTTACATGTCATTTCATGTGTGGTGTAAATGTTTTCAGTAAATTTCACTTCTGTTAATTAAAAAAAATAATTCCTTTATTGCCAAAAGAAAATTGAGAATTTGAATATAAAAATATGATGCCATTTCCATGTATCGTCACATTCTTTGATTTTATGCAAATTTTTTTTTTAAAAACGTTTATAATTTTCATCCCTTTTTCTTACATGCATAATATTAGGCTATTGAAAGATATCCAATAAAAAAAATTTTAAAAAATTACTAAATATTTATAAAAATAAAATTCATAAATAAGAAAACCTATCAAAATGTAATGTCAGTCACCATGAAATTGCCCAACAAGTTCAAGAATTATTAACTGACAATATAAAATAAAATAGATGAAGTATAAAATACCAAGCACACCGAATTGCAATTGTAGATTTGACAAGCTAAAGGGGTCATTTTTACTTTTACTTTTATTACGATTCTAAATGCTTTTTTCGAGAATTTTTTCTCACTTTTTGCTTCAAATAAAAGTGCCATAAAATCACTAAGGTTTCACTTTAATTTATATTTTCCAACTCATTTAACCAACAACAAAAAAAGTGTTTTCAGATAATAGATAAGATTTTAACTCACATAAATGTTACAAAATTATGCTAGTTTTTTTCCCTCTTTGTTTTACAAGTTCTTATACTAAATCAACAGTTATTATAATAAACTGTATACTGTGAATTAGGTTCCAGAAAGAGGGCTAAAGATTTTTTTAAAACTGAGAAGCTTTTTTAAGACTAGAAAAAAAAAAGGTTTAGTGCAGGTGTGTAACAAGTAAAATAAACTTAAATAAAACAATACTGAACCTGAGAATCTTCTGAGTCTGGTAAAGAAGGAGTTTTGCAACAATCTATATTCAAGTACACAACGCGGCTACCAGAGTCACCTTGAATAACGACTACATCTCTCATTTTATACAGTTCCGAGACAGCAATGGGTCTATGATATCTAAAGAATGATTAAAAAAATAAGAACTTGATACAAGAAAAGTCTAAAAATGGAACTAATCAAAAAGAAAAGTAATACCTTTTCTCGTATAGTTCTCGAAATTTTATTAATGGCAAACTTTTAGAAGGAATATCATTCAACAGAGAAATTGTTTCTGATCTGAATAAGATATTTAAAAAAAACATTAATTAATATAAACACTGATTTTATAACAATTTATTTTCATTATTAAATTGTATAAAACAAAGTCATTTAGAATATAAATATAAAATCAAATAAGGAATGATTTCAAAGTTATACAATCAAATTCCGCTATAGTGAACCTTCAAGGGACCGAAATTTCGGTTCACTGTAACCGAAACTTCACTATATCGGTTTTACAAACAATTTTATCTAATGATTCCAAATTCCCTCACTTTATTACACATTATTTAAATAAATGACCGATAAAATGAAATAAAAAAAATGACTGAAAAATAATACGTAGTAACGAAAATGAGTTAACTTTTATTTTTTATTACTCTTTGTCAGTGTTTTCATCATAGAAAAAAAAATGGGTGAGAATTTCTCACCCTTTCTCAAAAACTGGGTGAGATTTCAAAAAGTTAAGTGAGATTTCTAAAAACTAAAAAAACTCAAAAACTCTTGAAAAAAAATCATTTCTTTAATCATAATACATTTTTAACGTCTTCTATTTTATAAAGCATTGAATATTTTTGGTGCATCATCATAGAAGATTTTGCCTTTACAAGGTATTTGTCCATCTTTCATAAGTGAATAAAAAATTTGAATGTCTCACATAAAGAAACATCACCTACGGTAAACACGTGGTTGCAGAGAAATGTGATCTGAAAGGGGTTCTGTGGTTAGAAAAGGTTCTGAACAATACTGGTAAATAGGGAAGATAGATAATGGGGCAGATGTTGAAAATAATGAAAGATCCAGGAAGAAAAGTGAAACGGATTTAATTCTAAATGGCGTAATTCGAAGCTGTTTCCAAAATGCGAGAAATTCGCGAATTTTGAAATTGATTTATAGAATGCGCGAATTTCATGCAGTAATCGTTTTTTAATGCAAGAAAAGAAAAAAATATGCGAGATTCTCGCGCTGTAGTGAAAACACTGCTATTTGTCTTGCGTACAAATATTTTTTTTTTAATATTTAGCTGATGAGCAATCCTCAACATCAGATATGGAAATACTTCCCAACTCTCCATTAATTTTCCCCCAATTTATGTTATTCCTCTTTTTAAACCTGTCTAACCAGCCCTTCAAGCACATAAAAAGTAGTCTCGCTAAATCATTTCATCAGCTTTGACTAGAAGCATTTGTTCTGCTTCTTTGAATGCTGAACCAATTCAATAATAATTAATGCTAAGAAAACAAGAGAAAATGCTTGTTGCTACGTTTCATGCTATTGATGGCTTTAAAAATCAGTAAATGTATTTATTTTCAAGTAGAAATTTCAAAATTACCAAAAAATGAAGAAAATCAGTTTAAAGACAGAAAAAAGTTCGCAATATCCAAATTTCTCTCTTTTTTGGTTCACTATACCCATAAAAAATAACATACGCGTGCAGCAAGTCATGGGAGCGAATTTTTTGTTCACTCTTTCCGGGAGTTCACTATAAACCATGCTTACCATAGTGGGGTTTGATTGAATTAAAACAAAATCTTTCACAATACATAAAAATTTCTTGATTGGATTCTTTCAAGAATGATTTAAAATATTTTCTTAATAAGATTGCCAGATTACAAAATATGAATACAGACATGCAAATGGAGTTGAAAGTGTAATTAGAGGGATTTTATTTTATGGTGCATTCTTAGTGCAGTACTGAAAGTGCGTTTGATTTTTGAACTCCAATTGCACTTCTGTTTTCATATTTCGTAATCTGGCAATCCTATTACAAAAATATTTTAAATCATTCTTGAAAGATCCCGGTACATATAAGTTCATTTGAATTCACTACTTGCTATATAGATTTTGTTTTGTTTTTCTTTACATTTTCTTTTTTTTTGCGTGATATATTTTTGCTTAATGTGTTCAATTTTGTTTAAATGACCTCACATTATTGCATTGATATTTTTTTGTTTGGCTATTGAATATTAGAATTGAATATTAAATATTTGGCATGAATATTAGAAAGTACTCTTTCTTGCGGATATAATTGTGTGAGCTGATAAGAGATATTTTTTCAAATTTTTCAAAAATATTCTTCAAAAATTACCAAAAAATGAAGAAACAAAATCAGTCGAGGACAGAAAAAAAGATCATAATATCCAATTTCCTCTCTTCTTCTGGTTTACTATATCCACAAAAATAATATTATATGTGTATAGCAAGGCACGGGAGTGAACACTTCGTTCACCATATCCGGGTGTTTACTTTAAACCATGTTCGACTGCTTATAGTTAGAAAATAAAAATAGATATAAAATTGGAACACCACAAAACTTTCAACTATCCTGCAAAGTATAGAGGAGGTTATCTCAACTTACTTCAGAACACAAAACGGAGGACTTTTTTCCGAAAATGTATGCGATATTAGTATTCTCTTATGTCCAATTTTTTTCCTATGCAATCGGGATATCGCATATTGAGCATCTTGCAATGAAGGTACTTTTACGATAGCTTTTGCACTACCATCTGGTTGAAGTGACATGGATATATGAAGCACCTAAATAAATAGAAACAATTTCTTTCTAAAGAACAACACATATTTCTTAATTGAAATACAGAACTATTACACAAAATATAAATGCCAATTTCGTTAACAATTGGTCAGTCAAGTTCAAAAATTGTCCCAAATTTCTAAAAACAAAGAGAAAAATAAAATAAAAAGTTTCTATATAATCAAAGATATTATATATTCACAATAAAAATATTACTCTACAGGAGCTACTGCAAAACACTTCCAAGTCCGAAAAAAAATTCCTAATTTTTAAAAATCTCCATTTATGAATCATATTTTAGTTAAACGCAACATTATTTTTAATCAGAAAATACCTTTTTATAGAAAATGTAAATCTAAAAAACTATTTAAAGCAAAAGAATTATCGAATACTTTTTCAGGCTACCTATATTTCGATTTGACATAGCGTCTGAACATAAAATAATTTTAACTACTTTGTGATGAAATGTCTGGAAGAAATGTTTGTAACAGTAATTAGAATTATTTACTTTAAATCTCATTGATAACTTATTGTTATCACCAGTTCAAATATTGTTACCACCCCAGTTTAAATATTCCAGGCTTTCCCTCCCCCTAAAAAAATCAAATTGTCTTCAAAGTTTCCACAATTTCTGCTGACCAGTGTACGCCCTGAATTGCTAACAAATAATCGATTCCCAAAACTACACTTAAGAGAAATTTTTCAAAAAAAAATAAATAATTTTCTTGATTTTTTTAAAAAATAAATTATACTAACAGTGATAAGGTTCAACCAGCCAGCAAGTACCAGCACATAAAGTAAAACAGAAATATATTTTTAAAAAAATATTTAATAATAAAATTAAAAAAAACTATGTCTTTCTTATTAATTTTTTTAATAAAAAATAGTTTGAAAACTTTTCACGTGTGCTGGTTATAAGATAGTTTGAAGATTAGAGTGTAGAATCAGATGCCCCTTGGTTTGGCGACAAATATTGTTCATTTTTTTCCGAGAAACCCCTTTTCTAGTTACCGTATCTCTTGCTGTCATTTTTGGGCTATTGCAACTTTTGTTTACCATTGTATAATTGACTCTTGGTTTATTTTGATATACACACAAATATATATAGCACAAGAAAGAGAAAAAGGATAAAAAAAAAGGAGAAAAAAAAAGAAGAAAATTAATAAGTTTTATTTACTGCACATAAGCGGAAAGTATATAGAACTAATAAAATAAGTTAAAAATATAGAGAAAACATGGAAAATTATAAAGATTATTGAAAAGAGAAAAATTATTAACATAAAATATTTAATAAATCAAAATTAAATTTCTTTTTTTTTAAAATAATTTTTCTTCTTTTTTCATTAATCTTTAATATTTTCCATGTTTTCTCTACATTTTCAACTACATTATATACATATATACTCTACATTATATATATATATATATATAAATCTCCAAAAACAAGAGAGGCCCCCCAATTGTAAATTTGTATTAGTTTGAATCCCATCATTGGACACAAACATCCAAATAAGAGTAACAAATGTTTCAAATAGCAAATAGAAAGTATAAAATATTTTAGGCACAGTAAAATTGTAATTTCAGCTCTACAGTGAAATTGAATAAATTTTTTACTGAATAATTCTCTAAAAATAAAAAATAAGAAACACTTAAAAATGTTTAAAAAAATACCCCTGTTGAGAAAAAACAAAACAAATTATTTTCTTTTTTTGAAAAAAATATTGAAAGTTACAAATGCTAAACAGGATCCAATTGTCGTGGTAGAAATCATGCTGATGATATCCTAGCTCAAAATTGTAGCTTAATTGATACAACAATCTTCAGACATCAATAATCCTTTAGTAGCTATGCCAATTTTATTCAAATGCTCACAGAATTTAGTTATCAGGTAAAAATAAACTTCAGTTCAGATGTATTTTAAGCAAAATCCCATTTTTACACCTTACTGCAGTAATATTATTCTGCCATGTTGTATTTCCTTTTTTACACTGTTATATAATTTTTTTCTTTCAAATTTCAATATCTTTGTCAAAGAATCAACATCTTTTTTATAATTCAAGTTTTCCCATACTTTTAACATTGCATCACTAAAGAGAGTAAATAGTGAATTCCAGGAAAATTTATACAGATTCAAAAAAGTTTGTCAAATGAAAATATAATTTATAATCAGAACAGCTATCACTGAATTTGGTATTTAAAAAAAAAAAAAGAGTTAAAATTATAAGTTTTTTTAAGATCTAAAGCCTTTCAGTTAGAAAAATTTCATAAAAAAAGAAAACTTATGCATATGAAACCATACAGTACAGATTTAATTTGTTTTATAAATTATACTATATTAAGAAAAAATTGTTTTTAATATGTTTAAAATCCTAACAAAAAAATTTAACACAAAATTTCTCTTATTAGAAAAAGATCATGTTCCATTTTATTTTATACTTAGAAATAAGCTATTTTTCTAATAAAATTATGTCAAATAATTTTTATAGTTGTATTTCTCCAATTGAGTATTTGAAAAAAAATATATAAAAAGAAAGGAAACGAAAGGTAAAATTTTTTTTGACAATTCATATGATTTTTCTCACGTATGCAGGTCTAACTGTGGAGTGTGTATGAATACTCAGGTCAAATGTTTTGATCAGATTGAAAAAAAGATCAATAATGTAACCTTTAGCGATGATTAATAATGTTATCTTAAGATACTATTAATAATGTAACCTTAAGAAACTATTAATAATGTAACCCTATGAGACAATTAATAATGTAACCTTAAGAGAAGATTTTAATAATGTAACCTTAAGACAGTGTTTTCCAAAGTGTGGTACGTGTACCCCCAGGGGTACGGGACCAGTTTAGTGGGGGTAAGCGTTCTATTGCAAAATATCTTGCAACAAACTAAAATTTCAAAACATTTTACTTAAAGACAATGCTAGCCATGAAAATTTACGATTACGTATTTTTCTATTGGATATTTTTTGCAGAGTTAACAGTTAACAATTAGCTGTGTCAACAGCCAGTTGTGATTTTAAACTTTTGTGCAATTTTTTATAGTAAAAAATACATTCATTTTTTATTAGTGGTACACAGCGTTACGAAAAATTTGGAAAAGGGTACACAAAAGTCATAAGTTTGGGAAACACTGCCTTAAGAGATGATTAATAATGCAACCTCATAGGATGATATTTATACATAATAATTTAAATCCTAATTTAAAATTCGTTTTCATAAATGTTTGCTGAAATTTTATAATTTGTAGAAATTTATTATTTTAAACCAAATTCTTAGTTCTGAAATTTTCATTTCCGTAACAGTACAAGACCTAAAGCTAAATTTTTAAATTTGTTTGAAATATTTCTTTCAAACAAAGAATTTATCTAATAAAAAAAATTAATTTGCTTATAAAATACATCAAATATTTCTTTCAAACAAAGTACATTTACCCAATAAAAAATTTTATTTGCTTATGCACTTAATAAATAAATACTAGTTATTCAGTAAAAGATTTTAAGTTTTATTAGTATACTTTAAAAGTTGTCAATTGTATGCCCCCTTTGATTGGTTGTCCGTGGCCATTGCCTTCTCCTCTGCAAGCAAATGAGGCCAAAATAGTTAATAATCATATCTAAAGTGGTGGCACTTTAAAGTATAAATATTGTTTGTGAAAATCCAACAGTTAGCACAAGAAACATAGTTTTATAAATATTACTTTTTTGAGAAGTTGTTTAGAAAACATTAAAAAAATTTTTTAAAAATTTATTTAAAATTACTATTTACATACATGCCAACATTGGAGAAATAAAATAGCGGAGATTTTACTAACCGCCCCAATTTTGGGGTTACGACAACTGACGTTCAACTCGGTANAAAAAAAAATTTATTTAAAATTACTATTTACATACATGCCAACATTGGAGAAATAAAATAGCGGAGATTTTACTAACCGCCCCAATTTTGGGGTTACGACAACTGACGTTCAACTCGGTAGCCTTGAAATTTTGAACCCAATTAAGAAGACAAGGGAACTCCTGGATTAAGTATTGGGAGAAATTTGGTTTGTGGAGAACATTTTTTTTATGGAAATACCTGTATTTGAGTTACGTGAAGAAAACAACGAAAACCTACAACGGTTAGCCTGACGAGGAGGGGACTCTAACCTGTAATCCCTCTAACACTGAGGATATTTCACGTCAGCACTGTGGTCAGTGCTAGCCGGATGCGGAATTCGTATCGACCAGTCATTGCTGGGATTCGAACCGGGGTTCACCTCATTCACTCTATTCCCTGGGCCATTACGGCTTGGCTTAAACAATTAACACTCAACATACTACAGTACTGGCAATAGCACCATCTGTTTAGGAATAAGAGATGTATTTTTGTCATCAGTGGATATTTTATCACCAAATATATATAGATTTTTTTAAATTTCTTCAACAAATAAGGAGAAATTTGAAAATAAACAGGTTAAATAGGTGATAGTAGTAATATACAGGAGTCTGCGTTAAAAAATAGGTATGCACTAACTAATAAGTATATTTAAAGTTAACCCTTTGAAACATAAGGATTGAATCTCAGGGCACCAAAATCAGAGCAGTACATCAATTGTTATCGAGACGTTTTTTTCTTTAGCTCGTAATTTAACTCTAAAAGAAACTGAATGACACGAATGAACTTACCATAACATGATCACTGAATACATTGAATAAAATGTTTTTCATTTCATTGATTTCAAACATTTGATCTAGATTGGACACAATTAGTTCAACAGGGACATCACAACTCCTCGAGTCAAACGAATAGCCACCGCTCCAGTGAGAAGAATACTTTAATGGGTCACTCAGTGAGGTTTGAGGTAAATTAGAAAAACCACTACTGGCAGAAAATGATGAAAACGAAGAGTTCATGGCATCCAACTGAAAATGTCTTCTCGCGGAAGATTCATTAAAAACTGCAGGCGTGTTGTGTTTTGTTTCTTTAGAATCCTGCATGAAAAAAGGAGACACTTTACCCACATTCCTCTGGGGATACTTAGAGGTCAACGTGGAATCTAATTCTTTTCGGACAGGCGAAAAGGCAGATATGTCTTTATATCTGTAAGCTGAATGACCGTTCCAATCGACATGAGTTCTCCAGTTTTTCGTAGATGCACTGTCAGCTGATGCCATGAGTTTGGAATTGGCCATACTGTTTTTTGGATGGGATGAAAAGATGGTTTCTTTTAAAAACGATGGATAATTTTGCTCGCACATGACGGGCGGTGGGGGGAACTCAAATTTTCTTTGTGATGATGAAATGTGCCCATTGTTTAATACATAGTCCTGTGAATTTTGATCTTCGGATGGGGATGAATCACGGCTGCTGCAGGTAGATGAAGTTTCAGCTGACTCTTCCGTTGAGTACTTTCTTGCACTGAAATCTACATCACTTTTCTGAACAAAGTTAACTGAAATTTTGTTCCCAAAGACAACTTCCTTGTCCATACGTTTCTTGGCCCTAGTGCAAAAATAAATAAATAAATATTGATGAAAACTTAAAGAAACAAAAAAGTAAAAATAACTTTGATATATATGAAATAGTAGAAATTTTTCAAATGTCACATTGTTTTCTTTGCTAAATTCTGTGAACTAATTAGGGAAATCAGGGGTAATTGTGAGCCCAACTCAAAAATCCAGAAAATTTCTTGAATAAACTCATTAATGACGCAATTCAAAAAATTAATGTCTTTATAAATTTAAATCACTGATATTTTCACAACGCGAAATTCTAAATAAATTATATGCAGCACAATTTAAATTGATAATTACGTATAAGTTTACTTTTACCTCTAATCACATTTATTATTCTACCAGAATAAATGTTTACAAATGAAAGAGATGCAAATTCTAGTTCTAATATTCTTAAATAAAATATACAAGAATTTTTATACATAATTGTGATAGATTTCTTGAAACTTCTACACCTTGGATTTCTGGAAATTTCAGGATCGCAGTTAGTGAAAAATCTGGAAAACCGGATTTTTTCAGGAGCACAATCATCTCTGTATATATATATATGTTAACAAAATGCAAAATTATTTTCTAAGTGACATGATCATGATAAAATAATTAGTTTCTTACAGAGAATTCTTTTAGTGATTATATTAGCCACCATAAAAACAATTCATGCACAATTTTAAATGCATTCAATAGTGAGTGAATCTGAGTGAGTTTATAAATTCATAATTATACTTTAAACAATTATGCAAAAAAAAAAATTATTCAAAATTATAAATAATTAATTTAACAATTATTTAAAAAGATTGCTAAAAGAAGAGACGAATCATAAGTCATTATGGAGAAATCTTTAGAGGAAGGCATTGTCTCCCATTGGGCTGTCAGGCCAACTAGGATGATGATGATTAAAGATTATCTCTCCTACAAAATGCAGCAGAAATGCTCACGAGAATGCGTGAATCTTTCCCACCGAATCCAGCTCAGTATTTAAACCCGCAATTTTTTCATAAACTAATTGGGGCTTTCATACTCTGCGGACGGATGGTATGTTGAAATAAATATTGGTTGAATGAATTATGAAAACGTTGAATAGAACAAATTGAAAAACACACTTTTTGCATAATTCGAGGTAAAAATTGATATGGTAAAGAAAAAAATCTCCTTGAAAATTAAGCACTTTTTAAATACACCCAGCAAAAGGGCTTTCAAAAAACGAAAATAAGCACCTTTTAAGAAACGGTACGCACCCTGATATGAAATAGTAGAAATTTTTCAAATGCCGCATTGTTTTCTTAAAACATTAATGGAAACATTAATGATCACATTAATGCTATATTTTGCGAGCTAATTAGGGAAATTAAGTATTAAAATATTTCCATAATTTTCTTCTGGCAACCATATATATTATGATACATCAAAAACATTTGCAGTTAATATAATTATACTGATCAACATAGATCAATTCTCTTGTTGTCTACCATTTTCTATTATTTTTAAAACTTTAATTTGAAAAATAAATGATTACCAACTTGTATAAAGTTTTTTAACAAAATTTTGATAGCCAATGAGAAAAAAACAACAACAAAAAAAACAACAACTGTGGGCATGAAACAAACATGTTAAGAAGAAATAGAAATGTATTTATAACACAACCTTTAAAAATTAGAGCATAGATTTACCAGAAAATAGATACATAAAGTGTTTAATAAATGTATATATGTTTCGTTTGTTTATCTATCAAACATAACAAAGTAAATTACATATTTATATCTAGACATATATAATATATATATTAAAAAAAACAGCCATGTTGAATTAATATTAAAATGAGAGCATAAGAAGGGATTATAACAAATATGTACTTATCAAGAGATCATAACAAATATAAAGGAATCATAGCAATAAGCACCACATTCAGCATTCTTCTGTATCATGAAAAAATAAGCCAGAGTAGAATTTTCCTTACTTATAATCAGATAAAGCAAAGGTGTAAAATAGTTAAAGTGAAAAACAAACAACACTGATTTTGTATTTTTCTGATAAGATATTTTGAAAAATTAAATGATACATAAAATGTGAAACTATCTATTACACTTTATCATAAATTTGTTACCATATTACTTATATATATTCCATGGCCATTTACTACTGCAAGTGTCAGAGTTTTCAAAAAAAAAATAAAGACATTTTTTGGTATTGTATACAAATGCAAGACTACTTTAAAAAATAGGCAAATTACAAAAAAAAAAAGAAGAAAAAAAAAGAAAGAAAAAAAAAAGTATATAATTTGGTTAAGTACAGCAAAGACAATATTAATTTCATCGTAAAAGAGTAATAAAGTACACTTCTTTTTTAATTTCAGAATTAGTTTGTCCGGAACTTAAAAGTTTTAATAGTTTCCAGTATAATTTTATTAATGGAGCACTGAACAAATCATAATTGTTTGAGATACTTAGAAAATTTTTATAGAACTGCTCTTTTAAAAACATAATCAATTATCAATTTGCTCATATTACCCACCAAAAATATTTAATTAAAATTTTTAGGTTCAAGATATCCTAAATATTCTAAAAATGGAATATTATGTTTTAAACTAAGATTTCAAATTTAAAATTTTAAAATAAAATTTCGAATCTGATGCGTAACTGAGGGTTATATTGTCCCTTTAAGAACTTGCAAGTGTTGTAGTCTTATTACAAAAATTGGATTTTAGGCAAACATTACAAACTGGATAAAACTTTAAAAAATTCTAAAATTCAAAAAACATCAAATTTCTATAATTAATAAAAAATCGAATAATAATGAAAACTGAACCAAACTAAATGCAAAAAATACTTGATAATGTAAAGTTAAAAATAATATTATTCCAAGTAATTGCTCATTAAATGAGAACTCAAAGTTCATGTTCCATTTTTGAAACATTGGCAAGTTAAACTTCAATTATGAAGCAAAAAATATCAAATCTTTAATATTTTCAAAATTGTTAATTTTCAAAATTACTAAATCATTAATAGACTTTCCTAAGAAAAAATCATTTACATGCATTTAAGTAATATATCCGCTGTTTATAATTGTTTCACTTGTATCAGAATAAACAAATTTGATTTTCAATTTTTATACTCAATTTTGTACAAATTCAGTCACACACACAATTAGTAACGTACCAAAAATATCTGAATAAATTCATGGTATTAATTGTCCTAAATACAACATGAATAAAAAGTTTCAAACACTACATAAGATAGTTTGAAAAATTCAGTAATTATTTAATATTTTCTAAAAGGAAACCTAGAAATATTAAAAAAATATAATAAAACAATTACCAATTAGTATGATAAAAATATCTCACTAAATTGGTGGCATTAGTACCTTTGAATTATTAAAGGATATTTTTATCAGAACACACTCAAGTGTGTTCTGATCATAAATACAAAGTATATTGAAAACATCTAATTTTGTATAAGATTACTTGAAAATTTTTGAATCATTTTAAAATTTTAGATAAGTTACATTTTTTGTTTTTCTCATTTATTCAAATATCTTTGCAAACACAGCAAAATTTTCCCAATCATTGCTTTTCACTTCACAATCAATATTCTAATACTCTTTTAGTAGAGTTATTAAAAGAATTTAAAAAAACTGATTTGAATCATTTGATTCAAATATTTTAAATTGTTGACACCTTAATCTAAATACATTCAACTGTCAGAATAAAAGATTGGTGATTCAGATAGTAAAACGAAATTTTGATCAACTATCTTTCTTGGTTTAGAATTAAATGAAAGTTTGTACTTAGTTTTATCTATGCATAATTTTTGAACAGACATAAGTAAATTACCAGATTTTAATTATCTAATAAGTACAAAATACATTTCAATTAATCTACAGGTTAAACATTTAGTAGAAAAACTCCTAAAAAACATCTTTGTCACCAACACTAAAAGCAGTCAACAACTAAAAGCAGAACATGAAAATAAGATATTTAATACACAAATTAAGAACAATAGAATAATTTCTGAATAAAATTTCAAAAAATGTCTTGGAGGTAATAAAACCAGTAACTAAATTTTGAAATAATAAAAAAAAGGTTTAATATTTTTGTCGTTTGTTGTTTGCGATGTTTTAAGTTCAGGTTTAAATTAAAATTTTTGAGTGATAAATAATGAAGAATTTAAAAAATATGAAAAGCATTACAATTTCAAACAGTTACTAAAAGAAGATAAAAACTCACAGTTTCAAAAATAAACGGCTAACAAATTAGAATTTTTAATGAATGGGTGTTGTAAATCAAAAAAAATTCAACTTTTTGGTTTTTAGTTGATCTCTTTACATTTTACGAAAAAAACGAAAGTACACAGTATTTATTCACAATTCAAATATTTTTATTTAAATTTACCTAATAATTAAAAATATATCACAATATTTACAGTCAAAGCAAAATGAAACTCGCGATTTACACCGATTTAAATAAACTGCACAACATTAAAGTGCTAACCCATTTAAAATAAGACTAACATTTCAATAAACATTATAAAATATATGAATAGATTTATAAAATAAACTCGATAATTAAAACTTCAAATTATACTTACAGGCACGATGCATTTTATTTAAGCCATATTTTAAATCCTTTTATCTCATTAAATCGTCCATACAAGAAAGATAAATTTAAGCAGAAGTCACTCAATTATTTTGGAGATTGGACATGACATGCAAACACATAGTTCCTTTTGCGAACGCGGTATGAAATAAAACAAATTCACTATGTCAACTGCTGCATTGAAAAAAAGAAAAAAAACTAGAAACTCAGGCGCAAGATTCACAATTTTACTTTCGAGTTCAAAATCAAAACTTTGCGCCACCATGCACGTGCTAAAATTCGGGATCGTGATTACTAACCGATGAAGGATAAATTAGACAATTACAGTCTCGATTCGATTTTTCAAAATAGTATTGTGAAATAAAAACTAATACAGCGTAAAGACTACGTATTTTATATTT